CGGGTGCAAGGCCTGGCCTAACCCCTCCTGGCCCAGCCTGGCATCACACCACAGTATGAAGGACTTCTGGGACCCAGACCCTGCCAGAAACCAGGAGGACTTCCTGGAGGAAGAGGGCTTCTGAGAAGCTGCCCCTGCAACATGCAACCCCCATCCTCAGAGGGGTACGCCCCACATGGAGCATCCTTCCAGGGGGAGGGTCCTGCATGTTCCCCCCACTCCCCACCCCTCCCTTAGGGAGCTGCTCAGAGCTCATTGGGGACCATCATTCGGGAGCCCAGAAATCACCGCCCACCTGGTGCATAAGCCCTACTTGCCCCGTTCTTGTTTCTTCCTGAGTTCAGAGAGGGGACGCGGGGGGCATCCAAGGAGCTGGGGGTAGGCCCTGAGTGCACACTGCATGGTAGGAGTCACTCCCGGGCCTGGACCTGAGACCTCCCTGGCCCAGGCGGCAGCATCCATGGGGCGTGGGGGACCCGTCACCTGCCACACGCCACAGCGTAGGGCCAGCCAAGGCCATCGTGGGCCAGGCACGGGCCAGGGCATTGCCCCCCAAAGGGACAGCTCCACCCTTCCAGAGACCCCCGCGTCCCTGAGCCCAGAACCCCTTGCTTCCAGAACTGGCGGAGTGTAGGGTTTGGGAACAGCCTCAGTGCCCAACGCCAGGTTCCTGGGGACGGTGGCCACCTCGCAGGCCAGCTGAGGGAGAGAGAAAGGACGCGGAGGATCTCTGGGTGTGGCGGGAGGGTGGCTTCCATTTCATTAACTTAATTTTTTCCTCTCCCCTTGCATTTCACAAGTTTGCTGTGGAGCGCACTTTACCTCTTTTACAGTCACAGGAAGATGCAGTGACTTCCCCCTTACCCCTTCTCTGTCCCTGTCCCAGGCTCCCCAGGCCTGCCCCCAACGTGGGGACAGCCTGTGAGTGACAGGAACACGGCCTGGGCTGGCTCGCACCAGAAATACGCCCGTCCACACAGGCCTGTTTTTAAAGCCACGTGTGACAGGGCTGCCACCTGGTTCCTGCCCACTCGGCACAGCATTGCTCACTCTCAGAACAGGTGGCTGGCCGTAGCTCTGGCTGCCTGGCCCGTGTCACGGCCTGGAACCTCTGAAAGGTGTATGTGTGTGTAGGGGGGGAATATACGGTCCGAGATCCATGCCACGGGACACTCCTGGAGCCCCGAGGAGGTGGCCCGGTGACCCTGGAGGGACAGCCGTGTCTACAGCAAGCCACTATGTGTCTGGGGTGAAGAATTCGAGCCTGGAGGCACCTGGGGTGGGGGGACCCTGCAGTCACAGGGTGCTCCAGGCCCCCCACCAAGACCTGGAAGCCTGAGGCTTACCAGTCCTGGGTACTGCACCACACCAGCCCCCTATGGTTGCTGCCCAAATATTTGTCTGTGCCCCGGTTCGGCCGGGCCTGGGAGCCTTGCTCAGTGGGGTGGCCAAAGCCCATTCTGAGACCCTAGGGGAGGTGGGGGGGGGCCAGGTCTCCCCTGGGGCCATGGCAACCAGGCCAGGCCAGGCCAGGCCACACCTACGCGGGGAACTACTTGGCGATGCCCCAGGGCAGGCAGCCGGGAGGGGACCCAAGAGGCGCCCACGGCCACATACACTGGCGGCTCCGGGCAGCCCACGGTCCCTCGTGAGTCCGGCAGGGAGGACAGGGCTGCAGCCACACCCTGGGCAGCCCGGCGCAGTGGTGAGGGGCCCAGCGTCCCTGCGCGCGCGCGCGCGGGGCTCACCTGTCCCCGGCGCCCCCTGTGCACCTGGCCCCGCGCCCCGCCCCTGCCCCTGCCTCCCCCCGCCCCGCTGCAGGCCGTGTCCCGCGCCTCGCCCCCTCCCCCGCCCCGGGGGCCGTGCCCGCCGAGCCGGCGGCGGCGGCGGCGCACACTCACGTGAACACGAAGAAGAGGGTGCTGGAACCGACCAGCAGCGCGGCGGCCGTGGCCACCGGGATGTACTTGGCGGGTTTGAGGCGCGTCCCGGGGCTGCGGGGCATCCTGGGCGCCGCGCCGCCGCATCCCTCCCCGGGGCCGGGCGGGCGGGGCCGGCCGGGTCGGGCCGGGGACGGGCGGGCGGGCGGGCTGGACGCGGCGCAGGACCCGCGGCGGCGGCGGCGGCGGCGGCAGCGGCGGAGGAGGAAATCCCACCCCCCGGGCGGCGGCGGCGCGCTGATGTCAGCGCGCGCTTAAGGTGGACCGGGCCAGCAGGCCGGCGGGGCGGGGCGGCGAGGACGCGGCTGGGGGGCGGCGAACACCCCCACGGCCTTGCCCGCTCAGGGGCGGGGTGAAGGCCAGGCGCCGGCCCCAGCCAGCGGGTCACCTCCGGGGCCAGTGGGTGGACCGCTCCCTAGCCCCCTCCTGGGGGACGGTGGGGGTCTCTGGCAGGCGAATGGCCCAGGGCCCCTGGACAGGGTCAGAGCCGCTCATCGGAGCCCCCCACCCCCACCCCCACAGCTGGGGTCGTCGGGGTGGGTGTGGGGTTATGATTGTTGACCCCTGCCTGCCTCCCAGCCCCCAGCCCATCCGGCTCCAGTAGGCAGCTGGAGGGCAGGGGACTTGTCTTTCCACATCCTGGCCCAAGCTGCACCCGGGTTGGGACACAAGCAGGTGTGGGTGGGAGCCCCAGGCTCGCTGGGTGAGCCCTGTATCTTCTTGGAGAAGGGGCACCCTTGGCAGGGCCGGCCAGCCAGCACCCTGCCGGCCTCCTGCTCGGCTGCAGGACCCACCTCCAGCAGGACATCCCACCCCGCGGCCACGGCCACCCATCTGCTTAAGGTGGACCAGCCCCCTCCCCACCCGGGGTGGGGTGGAGGGTCGCCCCCACTAAGTGTGGGCTGGGGGAATCTTGGTCAAGCTCTGAACCCAGGGCAAGCTGGCCTGGGCTGAGCTATCAGAGAAATGGACACAGAGGAGACCCTGGCCACATCAAGACCCCCTCAAGTGGTTGGCCTGTGCTGGGCAGGCCATGCTGAAGGCCCAGTGCTGGTCCCAGTGTGGGGGCAGGAGATCCTCAGGAGAGCAGACCCCACCTGCAGTGACCCCCCAGGGCTGGGGGCAGCACACTTCAGCTAACAGGTGTCCCAGCCCCGTCAGGCCCTCGCTACTTGCCGCTGCTGCAGCCTAAGCACAGAAGCCCCAGAACCCCTCCTCCCACCACCACCAGCGGCACAGGCGAGCAGGGTGACACAAGCCCCTGACCCAAGGGAGAGCGGGCAAAAGGCAGGAGCCCAGCAGCCGGGCCCGGGATCTGAGGCCGAAGGGCAACGGCCCCCTTATCCAGTTTCACTGTGGCTCGTTACCCCTGCTCAGGCTTTGTCCAGAAATGTTGGATGGAGAGCTCTAGAAGTCAATCATTTTAAAGAACTGTGTGATGAGCACCTGCCATCAGCCACGTGCCGTGGACACTGCCCAGCTGGTTGCCAGCTGGAGTGGTGTTCCAGTAGTCCCAAGAGCCACAAGCGCTTCCTTGGTAAGTGAAGAGGTCAGAGTTCATGGCCGCTAAGACATCAATCCGGGGCTGAGGTGGCCAGTCTACTATGTTTCTAGTACAATGTTATTATGTCATTAAAGTGTATCAATAGGCACCACAGCACTTTAAAATACAGCGAGGGGGTTAAGCCACTGCCAGCACCTCACCAGATCAGGCCCTGGCTGCTCCACTTCCGGTCTTGCTGATGGGCCTGGGAAGGCAGCAGATGCTAGCCCAAGTCCTCAGCCCCTCACCCACATGGCAGACCCGGAAGAAGCTCCTGGCTTTGGCCTGGCTGTTCAGCCATTAGGGAGTGAACCGGGAGATGATCCCTCTGACTCTGCCTTTTAAATACATTTTATAAAACTTTTTGAAAAGCTGATGAAAAATGGAATTGAAATGTTTTGATAGGGGCCAGTGCTGGCATCCCATATGGGTGCCAGTTCAAGTCCCGGCTGCTCCACTTCTGATCCAGTTTCCTGCTCATGTGTCTGGGAAAGCAGACTGGTCCCTGCCACCCACGCAAAGGATCCAAACGAAGCTTCCTGGCCCAATCTTGGCCTTTGCGGCTATTTGGGGAGCAAGCCAGCAGATAAAAGATCCCCCTTTCTGCCTTTCAAATGTGTCCTTACCAAAAAGGGGGGGACCCCACCTGCACACACACGGGCTGGGGTTCAGGAGCACACGTGTGCTGTACCCTCTGCAGGGTCAACAAGCCACTTGCTGGCACGCAGCCTAGGACAGCAGGGTCCCCCAGCGGTGCCAGGGGGTTTCCTGAGATACTTCTCCCAGAGCAGAGACAGGAAGTCAGACACCCACGCTCTGCACTGACCATCCTGGCCAGGGCTCCCTTGAGGAAGACTGCTCTCACACCCATCAGCACCCATCGGCACCCACACTGCTGGCCACAACCAGGCCTTCAGAGTGTGTGCAGCCCAACGAGGCACCGCCTCTATCCCGGCATCCAACCTCGCCACACTCGGGCTCTGCATCCTGCACAGGAGGGCAGAGCGCCCCCTTGCTGAGGGCAACAGTAGTGACCCGTGAAGCCGGGGGCAGGGCTCTCAGGAGGGCCGCCCATTTGGTCACCGTCCAGGATGGGACAAACAGTGGCAAAGGGAAGGCGTGTCTGGTGGGTGTTAGTGGCAACAGCCAAAGAGGGGTGCCACTGAGATCCTCTTTGCCACTCCAGGGTGGGGTCATGGCTCTGCTCCCCCGAAGCCTTGGGCATGGATGCGGCTTCCTTGGAAAGCTGCCGCAGCACACCCCCACCCCTCCAGTTCAGCACAGGAGTTCTTTCCAGAGATCACAACCGGCTTTTCAACACAAGGGCTGCGGGCACGGCCCCGCACGACTGCTACTAGCCCGGCTGTGCCCTCTGTCGGGGCTAACCAACCCCACACCCAGCTTCCTAGCCCTCCGCAGCCCCAGCCCCGCCCGCCAGGCACCTGCTGGGGTGCGCATGCGGAGGGGGACCAGCTCGCAGCACAGGGGCCCCGCACACACGCAGCGCGGCCGTCCGCTCCAGGTTTCAAATGTGTCTTTTATTCACTATTTCTGATGCCTATAAATAAGTGTTTCCACTATGGAAAAGGAAGTTATCAGCACAGTACATGTTCATGACTGGGGAATGGACTGCTCAAGTTGGCTTCGAGAGGGCCAAAAACTGAAAAAATAAAACCACCTGAATGTTGAATTCAGTTCTTTATATAAAGTCCCTTGCAAAAACAAAACAGAAGTAAAACAAACCGTAAAAGAGGGGCAGGGCTTTAAAAAAACTGAAAGAGGCAGAAGGGACGGGAGGGGCGGGAGGGCGAGGCGCTCAGTGCTGCTCCCCGGCGGCCTCCGGGGCCTGCTCCTGCTCCGGCTCCGCGGGCTCCTCGCTCGCCCCCTGCACGGACAGAGACTGGAGCTTCTCGGCCACCTTCTCGGCGCTGTCGTTTGTGCCGGTTCCTGTGTGATGGTAACAGCGGGCACAGTGAGGACCCAGCGCGGCTCCCCTCCCCCGACAAGGCAGCTGAGCGCCGTGTCCCAGGGCAGCTGCATCACCCCCCACAGGTCGAGGTGTGGCCACAGCTCCCTGGCATGTTTCTCTGGCAGACGGAAAAAGCACCCGCCCGGGTGTGCGGCCGGGTGCAGAGTGAGCCTGCGAGGACCCCTGCCCCCCGCCCTGCCGCGGGCAGCACCTGCCTGCTCACCTTTCTTTTCTCGCTCCTCGATCTCTTTCCTGCATTCTTCAAACTTTGTTTTGAATTTCTGTGCATCTGTGGAAGGAAGGAGACGGCTTCCTGAGGGGACACACGCTGCGTCGGGAGAGCGGGGCTCACAGAAGGTATCCCACAGCCATCTTGTTTGTTTAGGAAAGATTTGTTGATTGAATTGAAAAACAAAATGATTGAAGTACAGAGGGAGAGAGAAAGGGGTCCTTCATGGTTCACTCCAATTGGCCCCAGCAGCTGAGGCTGGGCCAGGCCAAAGCCAGGAGCCTGGACTTGTGTTCTGCTGCCCTCCCAGGCGCACGAGCAGGGATGGGGACCAGGAATGGAGTGACTGGGACTGGAGCTGGCAGGCCAAGATGGCGTGCCGGTATCACAACGGCAGCTTGGGAGTAAAGGGTGGCCTGCGCTCTGAGGCCAGTCCTGAGCTTCCCTCCGAACCAGAGCGACTGTCTCCTGAGGTCCCCGGACCCCACAGGCCGTACTGGCCAGGGCCTCCCTGCTGTGGCCCCATGCCCTTGCTGGAGAGCCCCGCTCCTGAGCTGGGCGGTGTTCGCTCAGCACCAGTCAGCCCTGGGGGACTGGGACCAGGCCATGGTGCCCACCAACATGGCAACTACCAGCCACAGCTCTGCATGATGCTGACCGGAAAGACCCGAGTGGAGAGGTCGGCCTGGGCCCATGGCTCTCCTGGAAGCCCAGGGGCATCTCAGGCACCCGACCCGCCCACACCCACGAGAGCAGGCACTAAGTGCAGGGTCGCAGGGTGCTCCCCGCCCAGGGCTGCAGGCTGACCCCAGCCCCCGGCACACACTCCCGGCTACAGCCAGCTCTCCCGCAGCGGCCAAGGGCACACGTGTGCTCTGCTCACTCTCAGCGTTGAGGAAACGGATGGCCAGCAGCTCCGGCTTCGGGCACTCGTCGGCGAAATCGGCGTGGGTGTTCCAGACCCAGGCACGGTCACTGCCTGCGTTCGGCTTCAACTCCATCATTGGCGTGACTGGGAGGGAAGACGCCTGTGAGGGTGGTGGGGCCACCAAGGCCAGCCCCGCTCCCCCGCCCGTTATCCAGGGACACCACCAGGTGACAAGGCCACTGGCAGCCCTGTTATAGATACTTCTGGCTCACACAGAAAGCCACCAGGCGCACCCTGGCAAGGCTCTGGAGGGGTGTGGGGATGAGGGAAGCCCCCTGGGGAAATGCGCAAACTGGGCTTGATGAGGATGAGGACCTGGCAGAGCCGGCTCCCAAGGAGGCAGGGACGGACACACGTGGTCCTCACACCTGTCCCCCTCCCCCCAGGGGCTCTGCAAACTGCCCACCACCCGGGGCACGGCCCAGCAAACACGGGCACTAGGAGGGACACCAAGGGACGTCCAGGAAGCGCACGGCTCCCAACAGGAGCAGCAGGGCCTGTGTGCAGTGGCACCGCAGACAGACAGCCGAGGCCACGCGGCTGCCTCCTCCCCAGCCCTGCAGCGGGACGTCCTGGGAGGCTGCCCACCCAGGAGGCACTGACAGCCCCCCTCCCCCGGCGGTGCGGCCCAGCCGCCTACTGTAGTGGTTGGCGCAGATCTTCAGGGTCTTGTCTCTCCTCATGAGCAGGCGGATGGTCCCCTTCTCCCTGTGCTTCAGGAGCTTCACGTCGCCCGTGCCGCGCTCCTTCCACTCCGGGAGGTCGTTCTCCGAGGCGAATCGGAAGAGCTTGGCCCGCCTGCGGGAGGAGCGCCCCGGTGAGTGCGCGCCCACGGGAGCACATGCAGGAGGCAGCACGGGCCGCTGGGCGCGCCATCAGCAGGCGCCCTCCCGCGTCGGGCACCAGTCCCCAGCTGCACCCGACAGAGGCGGGGGGACAGCATGGAAGCAGGCAAGGCCGAGGAGAGCCCCTACAGCAGGCCCAGTCCTCCCACCCAGCGGTGAGGAGGGGCAGCCAGGGACCCAGGTGCCCAGGACAGCAGGAGCGCCCCCCACCCCGTCCCTGGGCGCCTCACTGCAGGGAGGAGTCAGCCCTCCCACGGGCAGAGTCCTGGGGATGCCACTGCCCTCTGGGTCACCCTCAGCCCCCTTCCCCTTCCCTGCAGCGAGGGCCCAGAGTTCAGGGAACCAAACCTGAACATGCTCTTAGAGCAGCCTAGAGTGTGGGGGCGGGGGAGCCCCTCCCTTGCTTTCACTAAGGTGTAACAGCCTCAACTTCCGGCAGGTTGAGTGTGGGCGGCAACACCACGCCTGCCACCGCAGGCCCTCGCTGCCCCAGCCACGCCCACCCGTGAGGGCAGGTGCTCTGGGTCCACTGGAAACAGCAAGTGGGGACTCGCGGGCCCCGGGCTGCCCACGCAGTGCTGAGGACTGCACATGCCCCTAAATTCAACCTCCGGGAAGGCAGCGCCTGTGGGAGCTGCTTAAGGACACGGTCCCGAGGTGGCGTCAGTGACCGCACGGAGAGAGAGACCCTGGCCGGCCCTCGCCAGGCACCTAGACGCTGGCCCCTGCTCCCGCGGCCATGACAAACTCTGGAGTGTCCCCGTGACTAGGGGATACTGGGAGGTGGGGTGTCACACGGGAGATGTGTGCAGCTCAGCAGGCTGCGGAGTGAGTAGGTCAATTCCAGGCCGTCCAGTCCTGGTCTGCTCAACTCAGGCCAAGCGCCTGACACCCACACGAAAAACCGGCTTCATGGGGGTGGGCCCGGGCCAGCGGGCTGAGCCGAGACCCGGGGCGCTGCCGGTTCGAATCCCCGCTACTCCGCATTTGCAATCTAGCTTCCTGCTTGTGCACCTGGGAGGCGATGGGTCCCAACCAGGGGAGGGACGGCAGCTCTCTCCCCTCCCCGCCTTTCCTTTTGGCTGCCACGCAGCGAGCCTTCAGACAACAGCCCCTGGGCAACGCGGGGGCCCGCTTACATTTTAAAAAGTTCCTCCTCATCTTCCTCCAGCGTCTTGATTTCTTGCTCGGGAAGAGAGACTATTGGCTCAAACTGGGGGTCGTGGTTGGACTCGTCCGCATTCTCCGTGGAGGTGTCGTGGTCCTCGTGACTGTCCTGCAGAGAGAGGCCACGACAGGTGACACTGCCGCCGGCACACCTGGCCCACAGCCGAGGCCCACCACCAGGCGGCCAGACCCCGGGACATCAACCCCATTGCCCGAGGCTGGGGCTCCCGAAACGAGGCCTGGGAAGAACCCGAGCGTGCGAAGATCAAAGCGCACAAGGAGTCGGGCCTCCAAATCAGCCTTCCCCGGGACCTCTCAGTTTTTTTACAGCTTGGGAAAATCCCTGTAAGGCTGCCGGCGTTTATATGACATTCGTAAATCTACTCCCAGTAATTTTATCAGGAGTCGGAGTTGATAGGGTGATAAGAGAAAAATCATCCAAAGGAGAAGCCATAAAACTCTTATCCAATCAGGGCAGCTCCCAGTCTCACAGGCACGTGCCTGGGTGAACCAAAAGCCCATTAAAAAAAAAAATGAAAAAGAAAGAAAAAAAAAAAAACACCGAGATCCACGAGCAGCCCCAAGCCGGAAAAGAGAACACCTTTCTGTTGCCCCTCCCTCGGATCCACGGCACTGCGGCTACGCTGCGGCCCGCAGGGAACACGCACAAAAGCCGCCCCCGCCCTGGGTCCCCCAGCCCCGCGTCCCCGCCGCACGCAAGCTTCCGCCCCGGAGGCGGGCGGCGGTTGCAGCCGCCAGCACGGAATGAATGAAGGGCTGCGTGGGCGACAGACACGAGCGTAGTGGGAAGCCCGCAAGCGGGCCCAGCCGGAACACACCGCCGGCCGCCGGCCCGGCTGCGGGGCCGCTCCGCTCGGCGATGGCCGCTCCCCGGCCCACCCCAAGGTCACGCGGGGCGCTCCGCAGACCCTGGGCCCGGCCCCCGCAGGCCCCGAAGCCCCCTCCGGGCCCCGCAGGCCCCGCAGCCCCCTCGGGGCCCCGCGCACGCCCCGACCCCCGAAAGCCCCGCGGGCGCCGAGCCCGCAGGCCGGCGGGGGTTGGCGGCCGCGGCGCGGGCCGCCCACGTGGCCGCCGACAGCGGCCCCGGCCCCCGCCCGGGTCTGGCCGCACCTTGGTGGCCGCCATGGGGGCGCGGCGGCGGCGGCGGCTCGGCTGGCTCGGGCGTCGCTGACTCCGCGGCCTCTCGGCGGCTTGGTCTGAGCTCTCTCCCTCCGCGTCTGGCGCCGGCGCCTCCCGCCCGCCTTCCCTCCGCCCCGCGACCCGAACCCCGACCCCTGACCCCGGCGGCGGGAAACGCGCCGCGATTCAAAACCAGCGCAGCTTTATTGGCTCAGGCGGCGGACACTCTCATTGTCCGGCCCGCCCCGCACTTCCCGCCAAAATGCCCGCGGCGCATGCCTGGCCCACCCGTCAGCCGGAGAGAAAGAGCGAGCGAGCGAGCGAGCAAGCGAGCGCGCACTCCCGGCGGCCCCCGCGCGCATTTCCGCCCCGGGCCGCGCGCGCGCCCCCGGCGCCCGAGCGAGTGGCCAGAAATCGGGGCCGGCGCGTGGCGATGACGTCGCCGGAAGTCGGGGCCATAGAGACTTGCCGCCTCGGCGGCGCTCGCTGGCGGACTGGAGAGCGGCCACGGGGAGGCAAGTGACCGTCGCGGGCCCCTGGCGGGCGGGCGGGCGGACGGTGCAGCCCCGTGGCGGAAACCCGGCCTTGACCACCCGGGGTTCGAATCCCGCCCGTACCCGAGGTGGGTGCCCGTGAGTGTGCGGTGACCTCGTGGCGCCGGGCTTGCTTTCTGAGCGCCTACCCTGTTGACAGGCCCGAGACTAGGCGTCGAGGCGGTTCACGTGGGACCCCCCCCCCCGACGGTGTAGGCATCTGAGGCCCACGACCATGAGCGACAAGCCCGAAAACGAAGTAAAGTGCAAGGAAGGGTGGGAGGAACTGGGCGTTAGAGCGGGTGGCATGGTGGGGGGGAGGGCGTGGCGTGGAAGATGGGATTGGGCTCCCGGGAGCTAGTGGCGCTGGGCTGTGGGGTCGCGTGCAGGAACGGAGGTCTTGGGTGCAGGGATGGGTCCAGCCTCGGGTCCAGCCCTTGCCTGCCCCGACGCAGAGCCCGGAGGCCCTGGATGGCTGCGGCCAGGACAGCAGCAGAGCCCCTGCAGCCCCCCGGGAAGGGGAGGAGGAGGAGGAGGAAGGCCCTCAGCCTGGCCTGTACAGCTACATCCGGGCTGACCTGTTCACGTCCGAGATCTTCAAGCTGGAGCTGCAGAACGTGCCTCGCCACGCCAGCTTCAGCGACGTCCGGCGCTTCCTGGGCCGCTTCGGCCTGCAGCCGCACAAGACCAAGCTTTTCGGGCAGCCGCCGTGCGCCTTCGTGACGTTCCGCAGCGCCGCCGAGCGCGACAAGGCCCTGCGCGTGCTGCACGGCGCCCTGTGGAAAGGCCGGCCGCTCAGCGTGCGCCTGGCCCGGCCCAAGGCCGACCCCATGGCCAGGAAGAAGCGGCAGCGGGAGGAAGGCGAGGGGGAGGCGCCAGTGGCCGCGCAGGTGGCCGACGTGGTGACCCCGCTGTGGACGGTGCCCTACGCCGAGCAGCTGGAGCGCAAGCGGCTGGAGTGCGAGCAGGTGCTGCAGAAGCTGGCCAAGTGAGTGGGCTCCCGGTCCCCGCGGCCGCCGCGCACTGGGCAGGGCACCTGCCAAGGGGGCCTCGCAGCCATCAGGGGACAGAGAGGGGCGGCGGGCTGCGTCTGACCACGGGCCGCCGCCCTCCGCCCGCAGGGAGATTGGGAACACCAACCACGCCCTGCTGCCCTGGCTGCTGTCACAGAGGCACAAGCACCACAAGGCCTGCTGCCCCCTGGAGGGGGTCCGGCCGTCGCCCCAGCAGGTCAGGCTGTGCTCGCCTGCGCCCCTGCTTTGCCGGCGCCTGTGGGGCCCCCCACCCCGGGGCCTGTGGAGCCGCCAGCTGGGGTGACTGCTGGCCCCTCCCCGCAGACCGAGTACCGGAACAAGTGTGAGTTCCTGGTGGGCGTCGGCGTGGACGGGCAGGACAACACCGTCGGCTGCCGGCTCGGCAAGTACAAGGGCGGGACGTGTGCCGTGGCCGCCCCCTTCGACACCGTGCACATCCCCGAGGCCACCAAGCGGGTGGTGAAGGCCTTCCAGGAGTTCATCCGGTGAGGCCACACCCCTGACCCTGGGGCAGCCTGGGAGCAGCGGGCATGTGGTGTGGTCAGGCGGGGGAGAGAGCAGGGAGCCCGACGAGCAGACACTGGGCACTGAGCGCCCGGCGTGGCTCCCACAGGTGCACCCCCTACTCAGCATACGACCCCGAGACATACACGGGCCACTGGAGGCAGCTGACCGTGCGCACCAGCCGCCGGGGCCAGGCCATGGCCATCGCCTACTTCCACCCCCAGGTCTCAGGCTGGTGGCCCTGTGGTGTCAGGGGTTGGGGGAGAAGGGGTCTGGTCTTGTGTGTCCTTGGCACAGCCTGAGCCTGGGCCTCCCCCCGCCCCGTCTCCAGAAGCTGAGCCCCGAGGAGCTGGCGGAGCTGAAAGCCTCCCTGGCGCGCCACTTCACGGAGGGCCCGGGCCAGGCCAGCGGGGTCACCTGCCTCTACTTCGCGGAGGAGGGGCAGCGGTGAGGGGCCCAGGTCGGGGAGGTGCAGGGCTGGCCCGTGTGGGGGAGGGCGGTCTCGGGACGCTGATGCGGGCCTCCCCCTCCCCACTCACAGGAAGACCCCCAGCCAGGAGGGCTTGCCCCTGGAGCACGTGGCCGGGGACCGGTTCATCTACGAGGACGTGCTCGGCCTGACCTTCCGCATCTCCCCGCACGCCTTCTTCCAGGTAGACGGAGCTCCCGGTGGGCCTGAGGCCTCGCGGAGGGAGGGCTGAGGCCAGGGGGTCTTGGTGGCCTTTGGGCTGGGGGAAGTCTCCTGCATGCTCTTGCTGCCGTAGGAAGCCGTGGGGACAGCGGACGGGCTGCCCCCCAGGCACGGCTTTGGTCCCTGAAGCCAGGGGGCTGGGTGAGGTTACTGCCTCCTGCAGATCCGGGGGCAGGAAGAGGGCCCGAGTGACGGCAGGAGAGCCAGGCCACCGCTGACGTCCCAGCTGCTGTCCTGCAGGTGAACACAGCCGCAGCCGAGGTGCTGTACACGGTCATCCAGGAGTGGGCTCAGCTGGACGCGGGGAGCACGGTGTTGGACGTGTGCTGTGGCACTGGCACCATCGGCCTGGCCCTGGCCCGGGTGAGCCCTCCCATCCAGCGAGCCCCACCTCCGAGGCCACCTGGCCCCCACTGCCCTGGGCCTCTCCCCTCCGAGCTATCGTCACTGGGCCGTCTCTTTGCAGAAGGTGAAGCGGGTCATCGGGATCGAGATGAGCCAGGAGGCCGTGGAGGACGCCCGGGTGAACGCCTGTGCCAATGGTGAGAGTGGCAGGCCCCGGCACGGGCGGGCGGGCAGGGAAGGGGCGTCAGGGCCCGCTGACAGGGCTGGGGGCCCTCTGCAGAGCTCAGCAACGTGGAGTTCCACTGCGGGAGGGCCGAGGACCTGGTGCCCGCCCTGGTGAGCAGACTGGCCTCCCAGCAGCTTGTGGCCATCCTGGATCCACCCCGCGCCGGCCTACGTGAGTGGGTGCCGAGGGAGGTGACGCCGGGCAGAGGCCAGGCTGTGGGCATGGGTCTGGGCCCTGGGGACCCAGCCCACACCCCTGTTCCTCAGATTCCAAGGTGATCCTGGCAGTCCGCAGAGCTGAGAGCCTCCGGCGGCTCCTCTACGTCTCATGCAATCCCCGGGCGGCCATGAGCAACTTCGTGGAGTAAGTGCTGGACAGGGGCTGGGGCGCAGGCCCTCTCCCACCCTGGGAGCTGACCGTGGCGCCTCCCTCCACAGCCTCTGCAGAGCCCCGTCTAACCGGGTGAAGGGGACACCCTTTCGGCCGGTGAAGGCCGTGGCCGTGGACCTGTTCCCGCAGACCCCGCACTGTGAGATGCTCATCCTGTTCGAGAGGGTGGAGCAGGAGCACCCCAACGGCACAGGGCCCCTGGAGCACCGGGACCCTCCAGCCCCACCCCCACCTGGGCCCCCAGAGGACCCCCCAGAGAGCTGTGCCCCAGGATGCCCAGGGGCAAGCAGCCAGGAGGTGTGAGACCAGCAGGCATGTGGCTGTGGCCCTTGCAGCCTGCCTGTCCCCACCCCAAGTCTTCTGGAGCAGTACCTAGGTTGGGAGGGCCAGAATAAACGACTGCTGGGAGCCCCCAGGCCCCCCTGGACTGTCTGGAAGCCTCGGTCCCCAGGCCCTCGCTGCCAAGCCTGACCATAGCAAGACTGCGCCCAGAGGGAGGACAGTGCAGAGCTCACCAGGAGACCAGTCCAGGCTCCACCCTGGGGCACCTAGCCTGTGGGAGGGGGCCTAGACAGGCCCAGTGCACAAGCCCCAGCCTCCCGTAGGCAGAAGAAAACAATACAGCCATTCCCTCTTGGACAGTTTGCTTTATGCTTCAGACAACCAGGGCTCAGCCTTACAGCCATGGCCAGCATCCACACATCAGCACTGGCATCCGTCGGGGCCCCCGCGGCACGGCTGTGCACGCGCAGGACTCGACCCACACGTGGTGGCTGTGAGGACCCCGGCTGTGCTGGGGCCACGGTGAGGCTCACTGGCCTCTAGGGAAACACAAGTGCACAAAGCTTTGGTTCGCGGGGGTGCATCTGGCTGCTCTAAGGGCAACAGTCACGGCCAACTGACTTGAAGCTGCAGACAGGAAGCGGGACGGAGGCAAGCGTGTGATTATAGCCACTTGACTGGGAGGGTTTCTTCTCTGCAGACCAACACAGAAGCCGACCTCGGTCACAAAGGTGGGACAGGAAGGAAATGCTGAGGGTGGCCCCCGGCCAGCATCCTAGCAACAAGCGCCGTCCACAGTCCTTGGGGGTGTGGTGAGACGGACACAGGGTGCACAGCCTGACACTGGACTCCTGCATCTAATGGTGCCCACAGCACATGGGCCTGGATCGGAGCTGCAAATGGAGCTGACCATCAGCCACTGTTGCAAGGGTCCTGAGGCTCAGACAGGCCCTCACCTGTACCCCACACCAGAACCAGTGAGCACGGGTCCTGGCTGTAGTCACAGGAGGCAGGACAGCGGCTGCCACTCACAGCCAGCTCTGGATCCAGAACGGACTGCACCTGAGGCCCACTTCCTGTTTACACACCTCCACTTGCTAAAATGCATGATTCCAAATCTACCTTTCTACTCTCTCTGTAAAAGTTTCTCTCCAAATGCTAAAATATCATAAAAGCTTTAAAAATTGATGAGAGCACAGGTGGACCTGACTGTGCAAAAACTCTTGTAAAAAACTGGTACCAGTGGCCAGGGAGAGTGGCCTTGGTGTCCAGGCAGGTGGCCTGCAGGGCATTAGGACTGGACCGGAAAATCAGACCACAGCCCAGCGGCACCCCGGCCAGCAAGCAGCTATTGTCCTGGCTGGCTGGAGCCCTGCAGTTTGCCTGTGATCTCTGAAAAACAGTTCTGAGGCTAAAATTGTGTTTATTTTACACCAAGATGGTCTTAGGTGCTCCTTTCAATTGCTGGGACTTTTTCAGAGAAAAGGGGCAAATACAGGAGGCGGGCAGGGGACAGGTGCTGTGGGTGCCGTCAGACCAGGTCCCTGGCACTGGCTCTGCAGGAGCTGGGGGCACAGGCCAGCCGGCACTGTGGGCCAGCCACAGGGCGTAGCCGCCTGCTCTCATGTCATCTGGCATCCGGGTCTCTGGTGTCAGTGAGTACTACATACTAAAATTCATGAAGTCGTTCATAAAAACAGTCTGTAGCAGGCAGGCACAGCAGGGTCTACGGCTGCCTGGGAGCCATCAGCTTCCACGTGTAGTCACTTTGAGTTGATCCTGAAGCAGCCTCCCGGGAAGAGCTGCGGCTGGTGTGCACCAGAGCCCCCACCATCTGGCCCAGGCGTCAGCACACCGGCCACGGTGGAGGACGCAGGCTGGCAGCCAGATGCTGCAGAGAGGCCGGTGGTCTCCCTGGGAGTGCAGCTGGCAGGCCCTGTCCTGGCCCACGCCGCTGCCTCACACGTCCACAGTGCACAGGGGCTCACCGCCAGGCTGAGCAGACGCCACGATCGACATCTTGGGCTTCTTCCGAGTCTCCTCCTGGAAGGACAACAAAGGTTAGGGAAGCCAAGGAAGGCTTGGCCAGAGGGACGCTCGGCCGGGGACCAGGAGGCCTGCAGGCCAGAGGGCACGGGGCTGTGAGGCCAGCCAGGCCGGGGGGAGAGCTGAGCAACAGGCCAGGCTGCCGCAGCGCATCACACGCCTGCCGCAGCCAGAAGAGCAGTGGGCCAGCACGGCTCCCAGGTCCCGTCAGCCCTCCCCTCCAGCCAGGGCCATTTCCTCTCCTGGGACAGGCTGGCCAGCCCTGCTAGCTCTAGCTAGACAAGGACCACACCCACCACAGGGTGGGCAGGGCTAAGGCCACAGCTACAGGCCAGACGCTCCGGGCCCCTAAGGCCCAGAGGCAGGGTCGTGTATGACCACCCAAAATAGAGCCTGGGGACAGAGCCCTCTCTGGGGTGGGTGTCCAAAGTGGCTTTTCCCGGAACCCAGTCCTGCTCCCCAAGCCCTGCAAACTCCCACGGGCCTGGCCTCTCAGCCCTGGCACCGCGTCAGGACAGAGGCCACCCCACCCCGCAGGCTGGCCTGCCAGCGCTCTAGCTAAAGCAGGGATTCTCTAGACGTAGTCATCCGTGCTGAAGCTCAGAGAGGAGCGCCTCTCGCCTCATCTGGAGGGGGTTCCAGGCGTGGGGGCCGGGGGCAGCGCGCACCCGCTCCTCAGCCAGCCTCTTCATCTCCTCCTGGAGCTTGCTCAGGATGTGCAGGTTGGGCTTGTTCTTCTTGGCGTACTGCTGCAGCTCGATCACGCTCTTGTCCGAGGTCTCCTGGGGAGCACAGGCCTTGCTCTCGGGACTGCAGGGCAGCACAGTGTCCCACGACTCCAGCGCGCCTCCAGAACTGACCACCGCACGGCCACAGCCAGCGGGGCAGGGGTGCTCCCACCGCGGCCCAGCTCTGCTCGGCCCCTTCCTGTCTTGCCATGAGCCACCCCCAGGGGTCCCACGGCCACCCAGAGCGCGGCGGGGCACAGCACTTCTCCCCCGTGGGTGGAAGCCAGGCTTGCTCCCCTTCCCTCGGGCTCAGGCGGGAGAACGCTCAGCACAGGCGGCAGCTCTGTCTACACTGCCCCTCACTTCCCACAGCCCCCTGACGGGCCTGGCGGCCCACAGCCACCCCTCCAGCACCCCTAGCACCCCTCCTCCTGTGGGGATGCCAGTCAGCCGAGGCTGGGGAAACACGACAGCACACACACGGCTCCCAGTGCTCCCTGCCACCCCTCGGTGTGGGCACTGGTTTACGTGGCAAAAACAGGAGGGACAAGACAGGTGACAGACCCTTCAGCTAAAGGCCACAGGCTCAGCCCTGACCCCTGGGGTCCCTCAGGGAAGCTCAGTGCAGCCCTCTGTGGCAGGGGGGGAGGGTCTGGCTCCCACCAGCGTCTCCTGCCATCTCTGCACGGCCCGGCAGCACTCACACTCGGGAAACGACCCCGGGCCTGGCATGGAGCGCTCTGGGGCAGCTCTGGGGCAGGCGGAGCCGGGGCAGAGCCGCAGTCCTCACGCCTGTCCAGGGAGGGGCTGTCACCTGCTTGACCATCTTGCTGCTCTCGCGGCCGTACATGCGCAGTAAGGAGCCCCAGTTCTTGACGTGTGGGTGCAGCAGCTGCAGGATCTTCTGGGAGGCCAGCTGCTTGCCAACTCTCTTGTTCTTGCCTGTGAGAGAGCATGCGTGGAGAGGGCGTCCCGTGCGCCTGGCCAGCACTGCGCAGGCGGCCGGAGCCTGCTACAGGAGGGCCTAGGCGCCCTGCCACCACGCTGGGCACCTGAGCCTTGTGGCTTCGGCGATGGGGCCTCCCACCCTCCACCAGCCCACAGCAGCAGCACCACCCGGGGGCACGGGGGTGCCACTGGGCTAAGGGGGGACACCAGATGCTGCCCAGACGAGGGACAGCAAGGTCGGCCAAGGCGCTCGCCCAGCCTGCCCACTCAGCGGGGAAGCCCAGGGCGCGCAGGGCCACGTGTGGCCAGACGGTTTCCCAGGGCCTTCTCACTGGCACAAAACTGCTCTGGGTCGTACGGGTATCCAACAAAGGTAAGTTTCAGACACAGGAGCCCAGAGACCAAATTGTGGAGGGCAGGTGAGGGGCAGGCGTGGTGCAGAACCCCTGCCTGCAGTGCTGGGAGACTGGCCTCCCCTCCTGCCACAGGGCACAGGCCGCACAGGCGTAGGCGCCACACTGCTACAGCTGGGGAGAGGGCCAGGGCAGTGGCGGGGCAGAGCCAGGGAGCCCGCGCGGGGAGCGGGAGCGGGGTCCTTACACCACCCGCGCACTGTGTGCTTGCCGCACGCCATGACGTATTCGCTCTTCTGGTTTTTCCCAGGAACCACCTCGAACTTGATGGATGTGTCCCCCATTCCATGGTTTCTACGAGAGCCAAGACAAGGTGGCATGGAGCGGCGAGCAGAGAACGGGACTCCTGGGAGGGCTGCTCGGGGACGCTCCCCACCTGCTTCGCGGCGGGCGGGGGCGCCTCCATCCTCCCCACGCAATTCCACGGGCTCCGCCCAGGAGGAAGAGCCGGGAGCTCCTGCCCTACCTTTTAAGGCACTCGTGGAGGATCTGATACGGAGACAACAGCCCAGCCTTGCTGGTCAGCTCGTAGACCCGCGAGTCCTCGATACTGATGTGGTTAAAGTACTGCAACACCAAACGGATGCTGTGAGTCCCGGCCCGGCCGCCGCCCCCGGACACTTTCGCTGGGACCCCGCCTCCTCATTCTGACAGAGGGACAACCAGAGGCCGAGGCTTGAGGGAGGAGCCTTCTGGAAATCACAGGCGAGGGAAGTCGGGCACCTTGCAAAGTCCAGCTCTCCGAGGCCAGAGGCCCCACGGAGACGCCGGCCCAGACAGCAACGGGCGGTCTGGCCTGGCCAGCGTCTCCAAGACAAATCACAGCTGTGGCCCTGCAGCTCCGGCACGAGCACGCCCAAGGGAGCCGGCTGGAGAGCAAGGGCCTCACTGCGCTCCCCCGGATGCCGGCAGCAGCCTGGGCACACATCCCCCGGCTCGTGGCAGCTCCACTCCAACCTTCACTGGGCTCCTCTCCCCTCCCGTCACAGGGACGCCATCAGGCTGACTATATTTCCCAGGCACCCACGGCTGCACTGTGACAGGCCCTTCTGGGAACGTGATGGGGCCCAGCACAAGGTGGCCCGGGACTGGGCAGAGGGTCGCTTTTCCCAGCTGACAAGCAAGCTCCAGACACCAGAGTGGCCGCCCAGCCAGAGGGGTGCACGCCAAGCTCACAGCCATCACAGAGCTGGCCCCGCCCTGTTCTGCAGGTGTCTGCTCAGGGGCCGCCTGCCAGGACAGCGCATAGAGAGGGGACAAGTCACCTCCGAACAGGTCACCACTGCTGCAGACAGCAGGCGACGAGCCCAGGTGATGGGTGCCCAGAGGATGTCACGGACCACCCGACGCATGTAGACCCAACAATGCAGGTCCCGGGGACCCCTGCCTTGGAAAGCACAGACTACCGCAATCTACCCAACAAGTGAGATCCGTAGGTGAGAACCCGGGGCTTGGAGGGCTTTTTTGGATCTGACCACCAAACACTTAGGTAAGGGAAGACAGGACTCTGTACAGACTCCTTCCAAATCCCAGCCAAGTAGGGACAGCTGCCAGCTCATCCCACGACGGCCTGGCACTCGGGGCAGATGCCCAGGAGCTCAGGAGTGGACCCTACACACACGCAGGAGCAGACTGGCACCATTACACAGCCCGAGGCACGCCCACTGCCCAGCTGGGGTCAGCCCCGGAACGGACTGAAAACACAGACTCAACTCACTGAACTTTTGTATTTAAAAAAGGCTAAACAAAAAAAAAAAAAAAAAAAAGATCAACAGACATAGAAAGGGTGCGTGGCAAAAACAGAAGGGCACATGACAAGATGCACGGCCTTTGTCGATGCTCAGCACACAGGACAGAGGAGCCTTCTCAGCCTGCTGAAGGGCAGCTGCAGGAGACAAGCCTGGACGCTGCCCTCGCAGAGACAGAGGACAGAGGCGGCTCCGCTCTCACCACGCTACCGTGGGCGAAGACACGGGGGCCGGGGCGCCCAGATTGGAAAAGGAGCGTTCACAAGGGACAGATCGGACCTAGGAAACCCAAGAAATCCACAGGGAAGTGACGGAGGCATAAAGGAGTCTAGCAAAGGGAAGACACGAGGCTGCTGCAGACGCGCAACGGCACCTCCACAAGGCTAGCAGTGAACAAGCAGGCGGAAACCGGATTCAGCTCCTGGCTCCGGCCTGGACCAGCCCCAGTCAATGCTGCCGCCGTTTGGGGAGTGAAGCAACAGATGGAAAGATCTATGTCACTCCCTCTCTAGCTCTACCTTTCAAATCATCAATCTTAACAAAACAAAACAAGGACGCTGCTTGGGACAGGGACACCCCAGCACATGCTGGACGGCCTGGGGCGTGTCCCAGCCCGACTTCCAGCTCCAGCCTCCTGCTCACGCGCACCCTGAGACACAGCAGGTGCTGGCTCGGGGCTGGCACCTCTGCCCCCACCGTGGAGACCCAGATGGAGCTGAGCTCCTGCCTTTGACGTTGGCCAGCCCCAGACGCTGCAAGCACTTGGGGAGTGAACCAGATAGGAGATCTGTCTCTTTTTTGCCTATAAAGAAATTGTTCAAAAGGAGGTAGAAACTCCTCAAGCATATCTCGGATGGTAGCGGGGAGCCTTACCCAAGGTGAAGTCTATCTGGTCTTCGACTCCAACACCCACAGCGTCTGAAAACCTGGAGGGCTTCCTGTTTACTCGGCGCCTCCCCACCCCTGAGCTTATGCCACCGAGGCGGCTCAGGACAGGTCCCAGCAGAGGGTGAGGGTGCTCAGCCCCTCCTCCTCGCTGCAGAGCACAGCCGCGCGCCACGACGCAGGCGCTCCCGGCTCCGCGGGGACAGAGGCTCCTACGTGCAGGATCCTTCCGGAACTCCTAAGTGTCATCTGCTCACGTGTGTGCTGTACAATAAACAGCTATCACAACTAAAATGTTCTCCTGAATCCTCTGAGTTTCTCCAGCAACTAACAAACCCAGAGGGGTCGTGGGACCTTCCTGGCAGAGGCAGGAAGCTGGGCCCCGCCAGCCGCAGGCATCTTAACTGGGGGCTGCCGAGAGGGCCTTCCCCCAGGAGGAGGCGGCAGGTGAACCAGCACACGCCCTCGGTGGCAGAGCTGGATTCCCAGGCCTGCAGCAGCTGCGCGGAGCCCTCCCACACGCCTCCTCGCCAGGGGAGCTTCCTTCTTCCGCTTCCTTCCAGAGCCACTCCGGGAAAGCGCCCCCGCTCCCCAGGAGAACCTGACCCACTCACTCAGGCAGTGAGGCAGCCGCAGCAGTCACCCCCCAGGCGGCTCACTCGAAATCAGGTTGGAACGCACCTCTTCCTGGAGAGGACACTATTCCAGCAGGCTACAGTTTTGGACTAAGTTCCTGCCTTAAGGCCCAACAGCCCTGGCTAAAAACCAAGATGGAGTCACTGATGCTCAAAGCTCCAAGCCACTAAGCTGAAACTAAGCTGTTTGCGTGACCCGCAGAGCAATCAGCAGAGTAACAGCCCAAACTGCCACACAGGGCCGGGGCAGCGGGGCGTGACCTGCCGTGAACCAGTCACTGTCCCGCTGCTCTGTCGCCGTGCCCTCCTCCCAGGGACGGCAACTGTGGGATGGCCCGTCTACTGTGCTTCCTGTCTATAAAGCCAACCTCCTCTGCTCAGCCCCTCCAGGGAACGAAGACTACACCTGCTGCAAGTGGGACCTTCCACCTGCCGGTGCTCCATCCATGACAAAATAAACTACGTACGGGACAGAGGACACAACCCGAGAGCTACTTCACACTATCATGGGCAGCTGACTGTATAACTGTAGCAGTCCACAAAGACTGGGGAAAAATTTTTTAAATTTATTTATTTACTTGAAAGTCAGAATTAGAAAAAGAGAGAGACCTTCCATCCACTGGTTCAATCCCCAGTTGCCTGCAGTGGCCAGGGCTGGGCCAGGCCGAAGCCAGGAGCTTCTTCCAGGTCTCCCACATGGGTGCAGGGGCCCAAGCACTTGAGCCATCTTTTGCTGCTTTTCCCAGGCCATCGCAGGGAGCTGGATCAGTAGTGGAACAGCCGGGACACAAACTGGCACCCATACGGGATGCAAGCGTCGCAGGCGGCAGCTTCACCCGTTACCCCACAAGGTCGGTCCCAAGGTTGGAAAATTTTAAGATTCATTCTGAAAAACTATTCTGGTGGAACAAGGACCTCCAAACCGGACACAAGGCCAGAACCCTCAGTGTCGCTTCCTCAGCTCTCCGGAAATCACACGAGGGCTCTCCACAGCCGCAGGAGCATCGGGCAGGAGAACGGCTGCCTCTCGCTGACAACAGGGGCTTGGGGCAGTCTCACTGGCCCTACTCTTGTCCCCTCTCCCCAGCTCTGTGGCAGCCCCTGAAGAAGGCTCCCCCCAGGGCCCTGACCTTGCTCCACCAGCTCCCTGGCGAAGGCTCCTGGGAGGACACGTCCCTCTGGCCCGCTCCAGGCTCAGCCGGTGCCCAGGAGCCCAGGGCTTCAGTTCAAGGTAATCAGTCGTCACTGCCTTACACTGCAGCTGCCTGAGGCTACAACACCAGCTGCGCAAACAAGAGGCCGGTGGCTGAACCAGGGCTGCACGGCAGACTCTGAGTAGCACACCCCTGCCCTGGCTGTCCCACAGGCCCTGTGCAGGTGGAAGGACAGGGCTGGGCTGCTTTGTTGTGGCAGTGAGCTAGGAGAGACAGGGAAAGAAACGGGAATGGGAACATACAGACGGCCTGCCCTGCGGAGGGAGAGCAGTCCATATAAGCTGATCCCGAGAAAGCTGGACCGACCAAGGGCTTTATGTCTCCTGTAACAGACACCTCAAAGAAGGGAAAGACACAGCAAGCGCGAGACAGCGTCCCACCCGAGACCAGCAACAGAAGGAAATATTCTGTCCAGGAGCTGGCCAGCACACAAGCAGGTCGGCCAGCGAGACCCCCAGATTGAGAACCCGGGAGACAAAAGAATGAAGAGCAAGAACGGCGCCCCGGGAACCCGCGGGATGCCAGGCTTAGACAACGGCCCTCCCTCCCCACGTTTGATAAGCGGCACTAGTTAGGGACTGGCACTGTGGCACAGCAGGTTAAACCAGCCTTGTGGTGCCGACATCCCGTGTGGGCGTGCCAGCTCCAGGGCTGGCTGCTCTGCTCCCTACCTGGCTTCCTGCCCACGTGCCAGGGAATGCAGTGGAAGGGGCCCCAGGTGCTTCCCCCACCACCCATCCAGGAGACCCGAATGGAGTTTCCAGCTCCTGGCTTCAGCTGGGTTCAGACCTGAGTACTGTGGCCACTTGGGGAGTAAACTAGCAGATGGAAGACACCTCTCTCTCCCCCTCTCCCTGTCTCTATCACCATCCACTCCCCGTGTGTGTCATTCTGCCTTTCAAACAAATAAATGTCAAAAAACAACAAAACATAAATCTACAAGAAGCTCAACAAACTTCAACAAAACAAACTGGCAACTGGACACGTCCGTGGCAGGCAGGACAAAGAGAATCCTGCCAATAGGAAGAGAAGTGATGTAGAACATCCCAGCACGTCTCAGAACTTAACAGCCAATTTCTCATCCTAAACTGGAAGCCAGGAAGCAGTGGGATGACCAATTCTATTTTTTTTTTTTTAAGGATTTATTTATTTGAAAGTCAAGAGTTACACAGAGGGAGGAGGAGAGGCAGAGAGAGAGAAAGGTCTTCCATCCACTGGCTCATTCCCCAATTGGCCGCAACGCCCAGAGCGACGCCAATCCAAAGCCAGGAGCCAGGAACATTTTCTGGGTCTCCCACGCGAGTGCAGGGGCCCAAGGACTTGGGCCATCTTCTGGGGCTTTCCAAGGTGCATTAACAGGGAGCTGGATTGGAAATGGAGCAGCCGGGACTAGAACTAGCGCCCATATGGGATGCCGGCGCTTCAGGCGGCAGTCTCACCTGCTACACCGCAGTGCCGGCCCAGGTGGGATGGCCAATTCTTATTAGCAATAAATGGCAATCAAGAATTCTATATCCAGCAAAAACTATACTTCAAACATAAAGAAGAAATGAAGACATTACAGGCAAACCAAAACGAAAGGATTCACTGGAGTAGGCCAGCCCTGCCAGAAACACCTAAGAGCCCTCAGTCTGAAATAAAAGCACTCTGTACGCAGCAGCGCAAACCCAAAGAATCAAGAGCACTGCTGGGGCCGGTGCTGTACCACAGCAGGTCAAGCCACCAGCTGCAGTGCCAGCATCCCACATGGGCGCTGGTTCGAGACCTGGCTGCTCCACTTCCCATCCAGCCCTCCACTATGGCCTGAGAAAGCAGTAGAAGATGGCCCAAGTCCTTGGGCCTCTGCACCCACGTGGGAGACCTGGGAAGCTCCTGGCTCCTGATCGGTGCAGCTCCAGCCATTGCAGCAAACTGGGGAGTGAACCAGCAGATCGAAGACCCCCCGCCCCCTTACCTCTGACTTTCAAATAAATAAATAAATCTTAAAAAAAAAAAAAAAGGCCAGCGCCGTGGCTCACTAGGCTAATCCTCCACCTGCAGCGCCGGCACACCGGGTTCTAGTCCTGGTCCGGGCGCTGCATTCTGTCCCGGTTGCCCCTCTTCCAGGCCAGCTCTCTGCTGTGGCCCGGGAGTGCAGTGGAGGATGGCCCAGGTGCTTGGGCCCTGCACCCCATGGGAGACCAGGAGAAGCACCTGGCTCCTGGCTTCGGATCAGCGCGGTGCGCTGGCCGCAGCGCGCCGGCCACAGCAGCCATTGGAGGGTGAACCAACGGCAAAGGAAGACCTTTCTCTCTGTCTCTCTCTCTCTCACTGTCCACTCTGCCTGTCAAAAAAAAAGAAAAGAAAATATCTACTGAAAAATACAGTTATGAGAGGCAAGCGAATTAAAAATGATACATTAGAAAGTACTCACTTAACACGAAAGGCAGTAATGAAGGGACTAAGAAACAAAAAACAGCCTAGGACCAGAGAGCAAGCCCAATGTCATGATCACACTGGCACACTGGCTAAACATTCTGATTGGGAGGTAAAAATTGACAGGAAGATCTTTTAAAAATCCAATTAAGTGCTGTCTACAGCAGACACACTCTAGATTCACAGACAGACAGGCGAGAGTGGAAGGATGGCAAGCTAGCCCACGTAAAAGCAGCCCGCAGCTAGGCCAATCAGACCAAATGCACTCTGAGGCCAAACAGCAAACAAGGGCTATTTTATCATCACAAGTAGATCCATCCTTTAAGGTGACGTAACTATTATAAACATGTATGTTCCTAACAGCCCTAAAACACATGAAGCAAAAACAGATCGAATTAATTAAAGGAAGCAGGCAGGTCAACAATACTGAGAGACTGCAATATCTCACTCTAAAAATGGATAAAAAACTAGGCAGAAGACCCCTAAGAAAAGAGAACCAAGAAAGCATCAACTGCCCCAAGCTAAGACAGCTGGAACACGCCACCCAGTAGTGGCAGCCCCATACTTGGCCATGGTCCCGGTCTTACCATATGTTAGGGCCTTTTTTTTTTTTTAAGATTTCTTTATTTATTTGAAAGGCAGAGTTAAAGAGAGGCACAGAGAGAGAGAGAGAGAGAAAGAGAAAGAGAGGTGTTCCATGCACTGGTTCACTCTCCAAATGGCTGCAACGGCCAGAGCTGGACTGATCTGAAGCCAGGAGCCAGAAGTTTCTTCCGGGTCTCCCACGCGGGTGCAGGGCCCCGAGGACTTGGGCCATCCTCCACTGCCTTCCCAGGCCACAGCAGGGAGCTGGATCAGAAGAGGAGCAGCCAGGACTCTCGAACCAGTGCCCACATGGGATCCCAGCGCTGCAGGTGGCGGCTCCACCTGCTACACCACAGCGCCAGCACCATGTTAGGTCTTTTTTTAAAAAAAAAAAACTTTTATTTAATGAATATAGATTTCCAAAGTACACATGTTAGGTCTTAAAACAAGCCTCAATAAACTTGCAAGGACAGAAATCACAGAGACCACATTTCCCAGTCACAGTAGAATGAAATCAGAAACCAGTACCTAAAATTAGGAAAATTCACAAGTATGTGAAAATTAAACATGCCTAAAATAACCAATGGTTCAAAGACGAAATCTTCAGGTTAGAAAATATCGTGAGGCTGGCACTGTGGCGTGGCAGGTAGAGCCGTTGTCTGCGATGCGAGCGTCCCACACGGGCTCTGGTGTGTGCCTGGCTGCTCTACTTCTGACCCAACTGCCTGCTGTGGCCTGGAAGAGCAGCAGAGGACGGCTGAAGTGCCTGGAGCCCTGCCGCCGCGTGGGAGACCCAGATCCTCCCAGCTCCTGCTTTCCGCTTGGCCCAGCCCCAGTAGCCACTCGGGGACTGACCCAGTGAAAGGAAGATCTCTCTCTCTCTCTCTCTAACTCTGCGGTTGAGGTCATTTGTGCTGCGTGCCAACAGATATCCCACCCTCCCCATAACTCTTTCAAATAAATAAAATAAATCATTGTTTTAAAAATATTACACGCCAGGATTTGTCCCAGGAATGCAAACCTGGTTTAAAATTCAAACTAATACCCATAGGGAAACACAAACGCCACAGCATCCCAGGAGCGGCGTGAGCCAAGATTCAGCATTCATTCCTAATAAAACCTCAGCACGATGAGAATGCTAGCAGGTTCATCCGCGGGTGTGAAGCCGCAGCTCAGCGGAGGGGGTCACCAGGACCCGTGCTGATCCCACTCAGGGAGGGTCCAGAGTCGGTGACCATGCGGCGTCGGAAAGCACAGCAGTGGTGGCCGCGACGGCGAACGGGGACAGGGCTGCTTCTGAGCCAGCTGCTATGGCTGGGCCACTCTGAGCACACGGCAGCCCAGGGCGTACAACCTGAAAGGCTGACCCGGAGGGCACACGAATCTACCTCAAGCACGCTGATGCAGATGGCGCGTCCTTCCGAGTCGGAGAAAGCCCTGCCACAGGCAAGCCCAGACCCAGTCACGCCGCTCACACCTGGCGCTGCAGACTGCCTCCGAGCGCACGCCCACCACGGGGCCGGCTCACGGGCCACGGTCAGCGCGGCGCAGCACACGGAAGACACCTGCCCCGCAGGGGGCGCCAAGGCGGCACCGCTCACCTCCAGCTCCTCGCTGTCTTTGGGCTTTTCCTCAGAGGTCTGCTTCACGAAGTCGGGGATGAGGATCTCCAGTGTGGCGCGGGCTGCGGAGGGGAGCGCCTGAGGCTGAGGCTGGAGCCAAAGGGGCTGCCTCCCCTCCCCACAGCCCAGTGGGCACTTGAGACGCAGGGTCGGGAGAAGGCAGAGCAGGTGGGGACGGAGAGAGCGCGGGTAGCCGTGAGCACAGGACTTGATCTGAAGTCCCTGCAGCGGGCAAGGGAGTGGCTCCGGCCTGTGTTCTAGCGGCGGCCAAGGGGGCAGCTCGGCAGGACCTGGCCCCAGGAGGGCGGCCTGAGAGCAGGCGACTGCGGGGGTCCAGACCACGGGGCAGGGGCAGTGGCTGCCGTGGGCGGGGAGACATCCGGAAGCAGTGTCTGCAGAGCCCATGCGACGAGGGAGCAGGAAGTGGATTGTAGCACACAGTGGCAGGGCCACGCCCAAGATGTCTCCACCCCAGGCCAGCCAGGAACAGGGAAGGACAGAGGGTGAGCGTGATGAGGAAGCTCTCTGACACAAATCCGCACTGCTCACTGAAAGCAAGCGACGCCAAGGGACACTGAGTCCCGGGGCCTGGAGTACACTGGCCCCCTGCAGCGTGCTCCATGCCTGGGAGTCACACTAGTGCCAACCACTAGTAGGCCTGGGTACGGCAACAGGGGCAAGGCCCAGTCCAGAAAGCAGAGGGCGCGAATCCAGACAGCAGCTTTCGGAGGTGAGCCCTGCCGCACGCACGCCGGGGCTGGGGAGGGACTCTGGCGGTGGGCCACATCCATGTCTGCGCCCCTGGGAACACGGAGGCCCAGCAGGCCCGCTGTCACTTGGCGAACGCTTTACCTCACTGGAGCCTCTGCCAGTGAGAGCGAGACTCGAAAAGTCCGAGCAGGTGATCAACACGATGTGTGCCCCCCCCCCCCCCGCCTGACCAGGGGCGTCCGTCACCGGGCAAGCGCGTTACCAGCTTTATTCTTCGCGAGCTTCTTGCTGCTGGCTGTCCCAGAGCCGTAAGTCACACCGTCAATGGTCACCGAGGCACCGAAAGGCTCACTTGGGTTCTCTTAAATAAAATGACTTGTTTATAGACACCCTCGCCAGGCCGGGGAAGCCCGAGACCACGCGCGCACTCATGCAGACTACCCACACCAGCAGCTGGCCTGCAGACAGCAAGAAGTGAGTGCTCGCCTGAGGGGCCTGGGGCACGCAGCGACAGAGGGCGCGGCGCGGCTGGGGACATCGGGACAGCGCGCTGCAGGCAGAGTGACAGACAGACACAGGGCTGTCCTGGTGGGGAAGCCCGAGAGCCAAAGAAGCCACACCCATGAGGAAGAGTGAGCCCTAGGCTGCAAGGAGAACCCCACAGGTGTGACGAGGCTGCCCGCGGAGACAGACTGCAGGACGAGCAGCCCCGAGGGCCCTTCCCCAACCTGGGCGCACCAGGAGAGCAGGGAAGGACGGAGGGGTGCAGAGCCGCTCGCCCTCCGACAGGGCGCACCTCTGCCTGCACCCCGCTCGTCTCAGGCCTTCTCTTTAACCTCCATCCCAGTGGAACGGGGCTCCCAGGCAGCACGGACAAGAGTCGCAGTGGGGAGGGGGTGAGACTCACCACATTCGAAGAAGTTGTACACGGGGCGGACCTTAAGGACGCGCTGCATGTACTCGTGCAGGATGCAGACCTCCGACTTCCCGTTGGGGTTGATGACAAACTCTGTAAGACATCACACCCCCCCAGCAACAGCGTGAGCCGCCGCTAGCTGGCCTCGGCCACCCAGCGGAGAGGGGCTCACCGCCGTGAACGTGGCAGACAAACACTAGCTTTGAATCAAGCTCAACTCACTCACCAAATGTGCACGCTAAACCCAACAAGCTAAACAGGGACGTTGTTAGGAAACTGGCGCAGTTGTAGCCAGGTGGCCACATGGCCCAGCTACCTGAGCCAGGCTCCACCCCCATCCTAAAGGGATTCGCTGCTCCTGCTTGCCTGCCCGCCCTCAGGCAAAGTTTTAAAAGGGCCTGTTCCTGCACATGCGCTCTCTTGGCTCTGCTCTCTTAGCTCTCCTCTCCTGCTCTCTGCTCTCCTCTCTCCTTTTCTCTGCTCTATCTTCTCTCCTTGCTAGCTCCTCTCCTCTCTGTTTCTCTCTTATACTCTTTCTCTTGGCTCCTCTCTCTTGGCTTGTCTCTCTATCTTCTCTCCTCTGGCTCTCTCTCTTATACTCTTTCTCTCTTCTTCCTTCGCCGCCCCTTCACTACGGTCTGTTGGGTGTTCCCCAATAAACCCTTTCCCTTACTCCGGTGTTCAGTGTGTTTTGCGATGGCTAACATTAATATATAACGGACGTGGCTTAGTGGTTAAGAGGCCCACACTTAACCACAGGGCTGGCGCTGTGGCGTAGTGGGCAAAACTGCCACGTGCAGTGCTGGCATCCTAATATGGACACTGGTTCCAGTCCTGGCTGCTCCACTTCCAATCCAGCTCTCTGCTGTGGCCTGGGAAAGCAGAAGATGGCCCACGTCCTTGGGCCCCTGCACTGACATGGGAGACCAAAAAGAAGCTCCTGGCTTCTGACTGGTACAGCTCCAGCCATTGCAGCCATTTGGAGAATAAACCAGTGGATGAAAGACCTCTCTCTCTCTATCTCTCTCTCTCTGCCTATGCCTCTCTCTAACTCAGCCTTTCAAATAAATAAATCTAAAAAAAAATAAAAGAGGCCCACACCTCGCACTGAAGCCCTGCCCAGTGCAGACCCTGAGAAGCAGTGAGCAGGGCCCTTGCCGAGTGGAAGACCTGGTTGGAGTTCCTGGCTCCCAGCTTCAGCCAGGCCAGTGCCAGCCACTGTGGGCACTGGAGTGAACAAGGAGACAACAGCCCTGTCTCTGGAATGGATCAGCGGCAGCAACGCCGCGTGGCCCACCTTTCTTAGTGGGCGCGTCTTGCACCGACAGAGTGATGAGCTTCTGATTGGCCGGCAGGATGGGCCTCTCCGACTCGGCCTGCTTCCGCTTCATCTCGCGGTTGAACTGCCGCCGCTCGGCCCACGTCCTGAACTTCTTCACAGTGACTTGCTCAAAGTCGAAACGCTTCTCCAGGTAGCTGCGAAACTCCTCAAGATCTGCCAAGGAGGACCAGAGAGCCAAGTCACTCAAAGCAGGAACCCTGCCCACTCCTGGCCCAGCGCGTGGGACGGCCAGGCCGCCCCTGGTGCCCGGGTCCCTTTCCTCATTCCTGTCGCTCTGCCAGTGCAAGTCAGTCTCACGGACACATTCTTGGGGTATCTTTCCACTTTATTTGGGGCAAGAACAGGAATACAAAAAATAGAAACAAGCAAACAAAAAAAAATCAGAGGGCTGTGGGGAGCAACTCGGACTAGACTGTTACTGGAATTAAGACTTATTCTATGCATCTGCTTTCCCACAATATGGCGCTGAGAAGAGAGTAACAGCTTCTACGCAGCTGCCTCCAGTTCAACCAATAAGCAGCAGGACCTGCTCCTGATTGGAGGAGAGCAGCGTACTCGGCATGTGGGTAGCAGAGTTGGGATTGGTGGAAGAGGACTATAAAAGGAGAGAGACAACATGCACCAGGAACATCTGAGGGAACACCTGTGCAGCCCCCGAGAGAGCCGGCCGGCGGTGTGCCACTCCCCCGCGGAAGTGGGGAAAGTGGCTAGGGGGAACCGCCCTTCCACGGAGGTGGAAGGGTCGGTAGCCAACCCGGGAAGAACCAGCAGCAAACCCAGGGAGGGCCGAGCAGACAAAAGAACAGCTCAGGGTCCTGTGTTGTTCCTCCACGAAGACGGGGAGCGACAGAGGGCCTTCAGCCTTTTCTCTCCATATTCAAACCAAAGCCGGACTGCCCACAGCTGCCTGGCGCCTCCCGCTGCTTCCACACTCACATGCCCGGGGAGCTCCTACCTGAGGGCCCTATGCTCATCCTGCTCCCACCACACACAGCTCTGCCAGGGCAACCTCACACAGAGCAGTTAGGAGACCTGCTGGGCAGCAATCCAGAGACAAGCACAAGTCCGGAGAACAGAAGTCCTGTGCCCCTGCCCGCACTGAGGCGGGAACCAAGATTGGAACGGGCAGAACGGAGCGGCAAGACCCAGCAGGCAGGATGAGCAAGCACCCTGCGTCCAGAATGCGACCACAGGGCTGAAGCAGCGGGGACTGTGCAGAGCGCGCAGCAGCTCCCCAGCAGTGAGCCTCAGACCGAGGCCACTCGGACCTCCTCCGACAAACCAGCACACACCCACGAGCACGCTGCTCTGAAAAAGCGGGCTTTAGGAGTCAGATGGGCAAGCAAAGAGAAAGGGCTGGGGCCACGTGCACTGTGCCCAAGGAGCCCAGCCACGCAGAGCCTGGGACACACACAGACACCGCCAGGGACAAGGGAGGACCACTCTCGGGAACTTACCCACCGATTCATCTTTGCACACTTCAACTTTGGCCTTCACCTGCCCCAGGGCCCCGGGGGCCGCTTCGGCCCCCAGGGGGTCCTTCTCATCTGGGGGCCCCGAGTCGGTGCCCATGGCGTCGGGCTCCTCCAGGGGGAACTCCAGCTCCGCGGATCGGCTCAGGGGCTTGGCGGGGGACCCCTCCCCGCTGGGGCTGATGTCGCTGCTCTGCTCCCGTTCCTCATTGTCCTTCATTTTCTTGTAGTGCAGACAGGGGATGCTACTCAGAGGAGGGTCGTGTTTCTGCGGACAGCGAGATGGCAACAGGAAGTGTAAGGACGACCCCGTCAATCCAGAAACGCAAGGCCTCTTGTTAGCCTCTGCGTGGCACCACAGAGCAGCAGGCGCATGGTGCACAAGCCTGGGAGTGCGACTCATGTCTCCCCTACCCGTATGCTTCCCGTTCCCAGGAAGTACGGCCTGGACCAGGTGACCACCCGAGACTCTCTGTGCAGGTACACAGGGACTCCGGAGTTGTGGAACGTCATGATCCAGCCGTCGGGGAGAGGCTCTGTGGGAGGGCGGCCACGACCTGCAGGGAGACAAGAACCCCTGATGGCTGTATGGACACCCGGAGCAGGCATCCGGCGCAGCGTCAGGACACGGCACAGCGAGCCCTTGTCCCAGATCCGAGTGCCTGGCTAGAGCGCAGTCCTGGCTCCGCTTCTGATTTACTTCCTGCTAAGGAGACAGCAGGTGACGGCTTCAGGGCTCGGGTCCCTGCTGCCCACATGGAAGACAGGGATTGCGTTCTACACATTTGGGTGTGGGCCTGCAGGTGGGTTCTCTCTCTCTGCCTTTCAAATAAACAAAAATCAGCAAAAATTTTAAAAACAGGCAGGGGCTGGTGTTGTGGCAAAGCGGGTTAAGTTGCTTGCGTGCAAGGCCAGCATCCCACATCAGGTTGCTGGTTCGAGTCTCAGCTGCTCGGCTTCCAGTCCAGCTTCCTGCTGATGCGCCTGTGAAGGGGGTGGAAGACAGTTCTGGGCTCCTGGCTTCAGTCTGACCCAGCCCCAGCTAATGTAGCCACTGGAGGAGTGAACCAGCAGATGGGAAATCTGTCTCTCCCTTTCAAATAAACAAATAGATCCTTAACACAAATTTGAAATAAATAAAAGCACTTAGCATTGTCCCCAAGGTGCCTCCACACACAGAACTGCTCTGTCCGTTTGCCTATTTACTGTCCCTGTCCCCCTTGCTTCCTCTACTGTACCCTCTGGCCTAGGACAGCATGTGGTGCAAGGTGGGAGCCCTGGGACAGGTCTGTGCCAGATACAGGCCAGCCTTGGCTCCAGCCTCCATCTGGTAGGCACCACAGACCGAGCCATTTCCTTGCCAACCTCTCTGGTAGGCAGAGGCACCCCTGGGAACCGGATGAGCTTTGCTAATAGAGCGTGTGTCCGCTGTCCGGGACAGGTGACAGGTGCCTATCAGAACTGAGCGGCACGCTCTCACCAAAGTGCTTTTAAAAGACACGAACACATCCTGAGGTCAGCTGTAAGATACCGGGCCCACCCTCTGCTTCACTGAGCAGGCAGTAGTGCAGAAAAGCTTTCAAATGAGTAACTATTCACCTGCCACCTGCCACCGGAAGATCTGACTGCTGGCAAAAGCACAAGAGAGAGATTTACTGAAAACCTAATCTTCTCACAGGGTTGGCAGTAACTAAAAATGAAGAAGCAAAGGGGGGAAAAAGCACGTGAAATCTAAGAAAATGTACGTGATGGGGGCCAGTGCTGTGGCATACTGGGTAAAGCCACCACATCCAGAGCTGGCATCCCACATGAGCGCCGGTTCAAGTCCCAGCTGCTCCACTTCCGATCCAGCTCTCTGCTATGGCCTGGGAAGGCATCAGAAGATGGCCCAGGTCCTTGGGCCCCTGCACCCACGTGGGAGACCTGGAAGGAGCTCCTGGCTCCTGGCTTCAGATTGGCCCAGCTCCAGCGGTCATGGCCATGTGGCAGGGGAGTGAACCAGTGGATGGAAGACCTGTCTGTCTGTCTCTCTTACTGCCTCTCTGTAACTCTGCCTTTCAAATAAATAAGTCTTTTAAAAAAGAAAATATACGCGATGAAAACGGTTGTCAGTGACTGCAAACTGGTTCCCCGCCCAGTGGTCCGACCCTGGGTTCACACCTACACAGAGGCTGCATCAGCTGCCACACCTGGGAGGGAGCATTGCAGGCTAGGAGTGCACGTACACATGGGGCCCTCTCTCCATGGGCTTGGACCAAGAAGGCGCCAGCTTACAGCAGCTCTGAGCTAAGTCAGGAGAATCAGTAACAGAGAGGCCAGCATTGAGGTGCAGCAGATAAAGCCGCCACCGCAGCGCCGGCATCCCATATGGGCGCCAGTAGGAGTCCCGGCTGCTCCACTTCCAATCCAGCTTCACTGCCAATGTGCCTGGGAAAGCAGCGGCAGATGGCCCAAGCGCTTAGGCCCCTGCCACCATATGGGAGACCAGGCTGGAGTTCCTGGCTCCTGGCTTCGGCCTGGCTGAGCCCAGGTTGTTGGGGCCATTTGGGGAATGAACCAGCAGATGGAAGATCTGTCTCTGTTTTATCCCTCTCAATCTGCCACTCTGCCTTTTGAATCAATAGATAAATAAATAAATGAATAATAAATGGATCTTTAAAAAAGAAAGAAAAGCTGACAGAATGCACAGCCACATACAACACGAGAGCACAGCTGGTCCAGGCCACTCCTCGGTGAAGAGGAGCTGTCTGGAGCGGCCACCAGGGTGAGGCCCTGCTGCGGCTCGTGCCAGGCAGGCAGGTTTACCTGCCGAGAGTGAGACGACAGAAACACAGGAAGAGGCCCTGCGGCACTCGCCCAGAAGCTGCCGCACCAGCAACTGCCTGTCCCCATCCCCCCCTGCTGCACTGCTACCCATGGGCAGCGGCCGTGCCCGTGCCCGGTGCTGCCAATTCATCCCTTCAGAGGCTCCTCCCCCACTGTCCTCCCCCGTCGTCCCTGCCACCTTCTGTAGCTGCCCCGGCCAGGGGTCTCACCCGTGTGCCGGAGCACCCACGCCATCTCTTTAGCCCTCTACCGAGCCCGTCACCTCCACCAGGATGCCTCAGAGGTCCCTCCAGGAGCCCACAGAAACCAGCCCTGCCTCCACCTGCACCTGACCACAGCGATGACGGAGCCTCACCGTACCACTCCAGATACCTCCCGACTGCGCTCCCCACCGCGCCCAACCCCATGCTGAGGCTTCCACGGCGCTTCCGTACCAGCCCGCCCGAACCGCACTCGCCGCACCATGGCCCCAGGAGCAATGTCTTTGAGCAAATGCGAGGCCCCAGCGTCTGCCTACTTCTGGTGGCTTCCGCAACACCTGGTGCAGAGGCAGCACTCAGAGCACGGCCATCGCCTGCCGTCTCCTCTGGCTCGGCCTCCAGGCCCACGGGCCGCCAGCCTTGTCCTCAGGGTTCCCTTCCTGATCCCATCAGAAAACCCCCCGTGTTCCTCTGTAGCGCGCCCACCACTCTGTCACCCACAGCACTCACGGGTCCAGCACCTGGGCCACACACCCCTGTGTGTCCTGGGCCTGGCTGCCTTCTCCCTGCCAGTCCCGCCCTGTAACACGTGCCCCTGCCCACGTGGCCGTCTGGGCCTTTTGCTGAGGGAACAGGTGACTCCCATGGCCCTGCGAAGGTGTGCGCCTTCCTGGCCCGCTTACTTTTGAGCACTGTCTTGATCTTGGTCATCATCGGCTGCACGCTTGTCTCCCCATCGGACGCGTGGTCGCTGTCTCCTCCATATTTCTCGTCCATTCGCCTCTTTTTAGGAGCACAAAGGCCTTCCTCCAGCAAGGCATCCACGTCGTTGTCAAAGTCATCCTACAAAACATGCTGTTCAGACGCCACGGCCCCCCATGCCCACGCCTGCGCCATGGCGCCCTCAGCAGCACCAGTGAGGACAGAGCCAGGAAGGCGGCCCTCTCGGGGGGCCCAGCTGCAGCCTCAGGGCACGTGCCCATTTGAGAGCGACAGAGGAGGCCCCCTGCCCCCCACGCAGGCCCCACCACAGGAGTGCAGGTTTCTCTGCAGCACCGGCCCCCTGGCAACGGCAGCAAGGCCGACCTCAGCACCACGTGCCACAAAGAAACATTACAAAGGCCGGCCCCTCCCAGCCTCCCGTGCAGCTCCGCTTTGGTTTGTAAACTTCCCTGCTTTGCACAGATGCCGCCATTCCCCAAGCTCGCTCTCGGGGGTTTTGCTCAGAGCCCTCCGCGGCAAGGACCGCCAACATACCTCGTAGGAGAAATTCAAGGCCTCTTCGTCCGCTCTGTCTCTCTGAACGATTGCTTTGGCCGCGAACCCGCCTGCGCCTTCTTCATCTAGCTCCAAAGTGTCAGTAAAATCTTCTAACTCATCGAGCACTGCGTACTCCACTCTCTTTTCCTGATCCAGCTCACTCTCCTCATCCTTCTTATCCGCGCTCTCACCCCCCAGGCCTACCCCGTTACCAACGCTCCCGCCAAAGGGACAAGCATGCACGTCTCCACTGCCGGGACTCGGGAGCGGGCCGCACTCGGCCCGAGCGTCGCGCTCCGCTCCCGTGTACAGCACCTTCCTGTCCTTACTCCTGCAGCTCTCGGTAAAGCTCACGCTAATCTTTACATCCTTAAGCAACTTAAGGTCAGGGGAGAACTTCCGGACCGCAGGTGCGTGCCGGGCGGTGCGCGGGCTGTGGCCACTACAGTTCGGGTCTATGAGGAGGCGGCCCTTAGAGAAGGATCCTCTGCAGAGAAGCGAAGCTCCGTAGAAGTCGAAGGGGTCCTCAGCAGGGGGTTCGGACTGTCCATCACCACCAGAGCCAACGTCCATTACCTCTGCATCACTGGACGTTTGCAGGGGAGGTGGTGGAGACTGTTCACGGGGCAGCGCTGGGAAGGAGCAAGCTCGGCTCTCCGTCACCGCTTCTCCTGCGGCCTCTCGCGGGAGCGGAGAGGCACTGTCACACGTCTCCATAGTAAAAGCGGGTAAGACTACTTTAAAAGACCAGAGTTGTGTTTTTTTTCCAAAAACAAAAACCTTACTTAAATCTATAGAGCTAACATGCACGAGTCCGTGGAGACCCGGGGCCGTCCTGGCCGCGGTGTGTGCTCTGGCGGCTTAGTCAAGCTGGCCACATTGCTCTTTTCATTAATGTAGACAGCTTTTAGAACCACTGCCTCAATTATTGGAAATCACAATGCACTCAGCTTAAATGACTGACGGCTACGCGAGTCGGTCTTCAGGCCAAAGTGGCCCCTTTCTTCTTGCACCTGCAAAGAGATTTAAAACTACCGTCACGAAACGACAGACCTCTGTGCCGCCCTGGCCCCACGGTAAGAGTCGGGCGCCACTCGCCGTGCAAGCAGCTGCAAACAGGACTGCCCAGGACAACCGTCCAGGCGTCAGAACACGCTACCTTCACTCCCTTTCTTCAGAAGCTAGGTTAGAATTCGAGCCCGGAGCTAAATATTTTATTAACTGCCCACGTTTAATTCTTTCTTCAAGAGCACCCAAACCACAGACTCTCAAAGCTCAAAAAAGATTAAAAAAAAAAAAAAACTGCACACTGAACTCCACGCAGCATCCCCCTAACTCAGCCTAACAACGGGAAGCCAGCACGGGACGGGAGGCCGCCCTCTCCGGAACACCCAAAGTGTGCACGGCCTCCCTCCGGCCACCAGAGGGACGTGAATCCACTCACCTGCAAGGCTGGGTCAGAGGGCCAGCGCGAGACCCTCAGCTCAGCTCTGCGGCACTAGGGGGCCTCAGGGCAGGGACCCCGGGGCTCTCCTGGGCCCCAGCGCGGCACGTGGATGGGGGCAGGGACGCAGCAGCTGAGGTCACCAGAGTTGGAGGCACAGCTCTCTTCCCGGGAGAGAGGGACGGGCTGCGGGGAGGGGAGCCTGCTGGGGCTTGGGGAGGAGCCGCGGGGGACGGAGGGAACCAAGGCAGAGAGTCCCGGTGCCTCGTGGAGCCTGGCTCCATCCTGGAGGCACCAAGGAGCCACCCAGGGTGAAGAGACTCTCGTGCCACAGTCAGGTCCCTTCTCGAGGAAGCACACGGCCAGCTGTGCCAGTCTCTCCAGGTCAGGGGACAACAGCAAGAAAGGGACCCTGGGGGTGCCAAGAACGGAGTCACAGGGCTCCCTGCCCTTGCTGGCCCACTGGCAGCGGAGAGCAGAGGGGGAGGAGCTGAAGGCCAGTGAGTGAGGTCCTGCCCGGAGGGACACAGGTGTTCCAGCACCCAGCAGGACCTCCAGGCAGGCCCGCCTGACAGCTGCGAGTCCACGGCTGGGAGCTGCGAGGCCGCCCAGACAGGCGGCGTAGGGACGCGACTCTGAAGACTCACTAGAGAGGAAGCATGAACAGAGGGGCGGGACGGGCCGAGGCGGAGGGGCAGGCCCAGAGGTGCCGTCGTCAGGGCAGGAGGGGCACATGCAGGCACACGCACACACACATGCACATGCCATGCTCACCGGTGCAGACGCACACGCATGCCACACCCACGTGGGACACAGCTCGCGCCCCACAGGTCCCCGCAAGAACAGGAGGCAGCAGACGTCACACACCCAGGAAGTTTATGGTGAGGGGACAGCGGTTGCGCTTTGCTGGGACACAACGCGACAGGCAGAGCCTCGTGTTGGCTTTGACTGATTCACTCAACAAACACCTCTGAGGGAGGCACTGCCCCCAAGACACAAGGTCCCCACGGCCTGGACACGGCTGGAAGGGCATGTCCCTTCCTGTTCTGAGACATCCCAACACTGCTGAATTCCATGAGAATTCATCCAAAGTGACTGGGGTGGAGGGAGCCAGCCGACGGTGGCGGCCGGGAAGCGCAGCCAGGCACGCCCAGGCCACCAAGTGGAGCAGAGCCAGCCTCCTGCAGGCGGGAGAGGCCACGAGCACGCCCAGACGACACCCCGCAGATGACAAAAGGGACCCTGGAAAGCCCATCAGTGATTCTGGGGCAGAAACAAAACCCAAGGTGAAGCTGCGAGGAGGTGGGGGGACCAGAGACAAGCAGGGGTGCAGGACGGGGAGGCCCGCTGCCCTGAAGAGGCAGCCAGCACAGAGCAAAGATGGCAACAACCGCGGCGGGGGCTCTGAAGAGGCGCAGGGGCCAGGAGGCACAGAACGTAGGAGCGGGGTGCTCGGGAGGGCGGGCGGCCAGCCCGAGCTTGGGCAAGGGCCGTACATCCCCCGGAGAGCTTTCTTCTCTCCCCATCAACAAGAGTTTGCTCCAACACCTTCCACGTGGCGCACACAGGCACTCTGGAACACTGTAGACACAAGACAAGCCCCCAACCCACGGGGCTCACATTTTGAGCACGAGTAACCGTGAAATGTCCAAGCTCAAACAAAGCAAAGAACAGGGCTGGGGAAGGGGAGGCAGCGCAGACAGGTAGCCAGCGAAGGCAGAGGGGCAGGAGGCGGGACATTCCAGGGAACATCAAGAGAAAGAGTGTGGCGGGGCTAGCTCCAGCAGTGTGTCCAGGGCAGGCGCAGAGGGTCAGGCCAGCGAAGGCAAGCACAGATGGCCACCACTAGGCCCTTATCCTGAGGTGGGTCACTGGTGCGAGCAGCGACGTCACGCGGCCCAAGGCCCCTCCGCGCGCTCTCAGGTCTTCGCACACCCGCTCTGTCAGCTCTCACAGCACTGAGCCTCGCTCAAGGCCACACAGGAGCACAGGGAGGAGTGCTTCGCCCCAGTGGCCAGCTGGCCTCGGTCTAGACCACCTGGGATTTTCACAAAGGTACTTCAAAAAGTTTGCGGAAAAGCACAAAGATTCGGCTTGGTGCAGGTGTTTCAAAGAATGGTTAAGAACCAACCTACCCCTGCCGAAGGAGCACCTGGGTCACTCCGCTCCTGATTCCAGGCTCCTGCCACTCACAGGGGAGACGGGACTGAGTCCCTGGCTCCCAGCCTCGGCCCGACCCAGCCTTGGGCGCTGTCTCTCTCTCTCTGCTTCTCAAAATGTGTAAAAAGAAAAAGAGGGGAACACTGGGCCTAGCATAGCCAGCACCTGGGAGGCAGCCTGACAGCTCAAGCGGTTGGGTTCCTAGCACCCATGGCGCAGGCCTGGACAGAGCTCCTGGCTGTGGCCTGGGTCCTGGCTCGGGACTGGCCCTCGCGGCCATCACAGGTATTTGGGGGAGTAAACCAGCACATGAGAACCTGCTCTGGTTCTCATCCAGCTCCTTGCTATTGCACCTGGGAAGGCAGCGGAAGATGCCCCAAGTGCTTGGAGACCCGGATGGAGTTCTGGGTTCCTGGCTTCAGCCTGGACCAGCGCTGGCTGTCGTGGCCATTTGGGGAGTGAACCCGTCGATGGAAGATCTCTCTGTCTCTCCCTCTATCTACGGCTCTTTCAAAGTAAATCAGTCCAGGTCTCCTACGTGGGTGTCAGGAACCCAATTACTTCAGCCATCACTTGCCCCTAGGGTCTGCCTTAGCAGGAAAGTGGAATTAGGAGCTGGAGCCAGGAGCAGAACCCAGGTGCTCTGAGGACGTGGCCGACTTAGCTGTCTGCACTCCTAGGCCAAACCCTCATCTTCCTCACTGTACCCTGACTACTTCTAGAAAGTTCCACAGCCAGCCCCGTTCGGAGGCACTGGAGATGAGGACCCAAGTCTTACCTCTATAGAGGTGGGAGGGGGTGCCTCAACCGTAACAATAGAATCTACTTCTTGGGCTGTCCCCCTCCTCCAGGAGTCCCACACAGGACAGGGGCAGAGGGGCCCGGGACAAGGGTCTCCAGGCCAGGGGCGAACACTCATGGAGGTGCTTCCTGAGGGTGGGGAGGCCCACCCATGAGGATGCTGGCAGGTGGTGAGGCAAGGGTGGGGGGAGTCCCCCAGTTTGAGGGGGTCTGTTGTGCTGACTCAGCAAGATGCAGGTGGGACTCAAGACCTCAGATTCCCTGCAGGCCTGGGACGCTGGTGGCGTCACTGCGGGCAGTGCCCTCCAAGCGTGGCCTGGCCGAGCACTTTCCTGGGTTCAAAGTGAACCATGGATTGGGCCAGGTCCCAGCAGGGGCAGGGGGAGGGGTGTCAGGGCAGGAAGGGAGAAGTGGGGGTCCTGCTCCCCCGCAGTGGGACCCAGCGACTCATCCCACTCAGGCCGGGAAGGCCCAGGGCAGGTTCACACCCATCCCCGCCATGCATGCCATGCTGTTGTCACTCCCAGGAGGCCAAGTGAAGGGTCAGCCTGGGGCTGAGCACTGTGGGAAACTGTGTAATGGTCCATCTTCAGATGATAAAAAAAAAAAAAAAGTAACCAGGGCCAGCACTGTGGCTTAGCAGGTAAAGCCGCTGCCTGCAGTGCCGGCATCCCAGATGGGCGCTGGTTCGAGTCCTGGCTGCTCCACTTCCGATCCGGCTCTCTGCTGTGGCCTGGGAAAGCAGTGGCAGATGGCCCAAGTCTCACAGGACTCAGCCAGTGGGGGCCTAGGGGACAGGCTTGTGCCCTAGGGACTTCTGTTCTCACTCCAGGTGAGCCTACCCACCAGTCACCTGTCCTGCAGGGTCGTGAATAAAAGTCCACCCTGCGGTGGGTAAGGGGGTCTCTGGTGGGCTTATTTCCCACAGCACTGGTGGCATGGGCCTCCTGATGCTCCACAGGGGATGGGGCCTGGAGCTCCAAGGGCCCAACCCAGGGGCTCCTGGGGCAGAGGCAGACTCCCCCCCGCCCCACAAGCTGCCCCTCCCACCATCTGGAGTCAGGAGGCTGAGCACGCCCCTCCCTCCGGGGCTTCCCCGTGGGGCTCCCCACTGCTGCCTGGGGGACCCCTGGTGGTGTGGGGCTCGCCCTGAATGTAAACCAGCAAGGCTCTCCTGTGTCCTGGGAAGATGGACAGTCGCCAGACACACGGGCTTCCGTCGCAGCCTCAGCGGGCCGTGGGAGAGCCTCGTTTGGGGCCTCTGCGGCAGGAGCTCCCGCTGCCACACGAAGCAAGAACCCTGAGATGCACTCACTCGCCCCAGCCTCCAAGTTTATTCACAGCAGCTCAGGTTCAAGCACAGGACTCCTGTGAAGCGGGGTGGCGGCAGGGGCCAGCTCTGTCTCCTCGCTGAGGCGGGCCTGCCGGGGACGCACGACCCCCATCGGGTAAGCACGGGCCTGAGAGTCCTCGGTGCACACCAGGGGGCCAGCACCCCCAGCGGGACTGTCTGGGAACCCCAGTGCACATGTGCGGGGCCACGGCAGCATCCACTGTTCTGTGAGTGTGGTTTCCTTGTGGGGAACGGAAGTGTGCAGTGCTCTGAGCCCTGGAGAGCTGAAGGGCCCCACTGAAACAGAAGTCCACACCTGTTTTCTTTGACCAGAGCAGACACGTCCTGGCTGGGGCATGCGTGACAGGTGTAGGCACAGTGGCACCTGTCACGCGTGCACGTGTGGTGTGTCGTCGAGGGCGTATGCAGCTATCCATGTCTCTGCTCATGTGCACGTGTGTGCGTGTGCTTTACATGTGCGTGTGCCTGTGCACACAGAGTGAGCCCAGGCACAGTCTCACACACGTACACACACACCGCGCGCATGTGCAGCTGCTGCACACCTCACACAGCCTCTGTCACTCCCCACTGGCATAGAGTGGATCCCGAGCTGGGCAAAGGGGGACACAAGATGGGGGACGCACACCTCAGAGGGCCTGGCCAAGTCACAGGCAGTGCAGTGTGGCTCTGGAAGGTTCCTTGTGCCAGGGCCTCCCAGGAGCCTGCAGACCTGCCCAGGGGAGGGGTTAGCTCTGCAGCGTGAACTCGTGGGTGCTGGTCTCCCAGCGGGTGGGGTCCCTGTCCAACATGCTGCGCTCCGTGAAGGTCACGTGGCCATCCGTGTCCACGAGGATGATGGTGTTGGTTCTGGAAGACAGTGTGGGGGCCACATCGACCCCACAGCCATCAGTCAGCCTCGGCTCCACCCAGCAGAGCCACACCTGGGGCCCGTGACCAGGAGCTAGGCTCCCTGGCTGGCTCTGCAGACCCACACTGGGTGTATCCTGCACCCCGAAACGCTCCCCAGCCCACCCCACCGCCCCTCTGCAGCTCAGCGTCAGCTGCCCACTTTCCACTCACAGCACCCCAGGTGCCTGGTCCTTCCAAGAAGCCTAGCTCTCAACCCCGTGGGGGCCCGGGCCTTCACCTGGGAAACTCCCTCTCGCCCCGCTCCTCCCCACTTCCCAGGCCCCGACAGCACGCCCTGCCCCCGGGTGCTCCCTCCAGCTCTCCCCGTGACAGGCTGAGGGTTCCAGAGGGTGTTGGATTCGGGGACACCAGGTGCCTGCCTCCCTCCTGCACACACTTGAGTCACCAGCGTAAGCTTGTGACAGGAGGGACAGGGGAAGTGACATTCCTGCACCTGCACGGCAAGAGCTGCTGGCAGCCCCGCTGCGGTCTGGATGGGGCCTGAGTATCCCTGCTAAGGCTTCAGGTATTGACATTTAATCCCCACTGTGAGGTTACTGAGAGGGCAGAATCTGGGGCCTAGCAGATTAAGCCACTGCCCGAGACACCAGCATCCCATAGGAGCGCCAGTTCCAGTCCTGGCTGCTCCGCTTCCAATCCATCTCCCTGCTGATGCACCTGGGACAGCAGCAGAGACGGCCCAAGAGCTTGGGCCCTGCCACCATGTGGCAGACCTGGATGGAGCTGTGCTCCCTGTCTCTCGCCGCGGGTTGCCCAGGCTGCCCTGGGCCTTGGCCAGCCAGAGGCTCCTGCTGCCGGACGAGGGCCCCTTGATCTCGTGTGCTTCCGGAACCTGAACCCAAAGAAGCCTCTCTTTATAAAGTAGGCTGTGCCAGCTGCTTCAGTTTTAGCAGGCCTGCAGCATCGGTACAAGGCCTGCACCATGGGGACTCGCTCACGGGAGCGGCACTGAGGCATCCCCACCCCTCCTGGCTCCTCCTGGGTTGGGGGGCAGCCCAGGGGCCACACTTAGGAGGCAATGGATTCCTCTGTGTGTGACATTTACCTGTGGGGTCTGCTCGCCCTCCCTCCCCACCACAGCCACCTCGAAACAGGGCAGAGGCTCTGGGGTTCCACTCCGTGGGGCTGTGGGGGGGCAGAGGCTCTGAGGTTCCACTCCGTGGGGCCGTGGGGGGGGCAGAGCCCACGCCAGTGGTGCTGCCTGACCTTGGACCTGAACCTCTAAGGCGTTGAGGTCAATTAGCCTTTTCTCTTTCAACATTAGTTTCCTCGTGGATGTCACTGGAGCAGCCGGGGAGCAGGGGGACACCCGTGCCCACAGCCTCCTCACCTGGTGCCGTAGTTGGGTCCGCGCACGCACACGGCCGCGTATTTGCTCAGGATGGGCTGCACGTACTCCCGGCCCTGGTCCTCGATGGCTGGGTCGGGCAGCTGTCTGCAAGGATCGAGAAGGAGGGGTGTGGCCATCATTCCCTGGCCTGTCCTGCCCACAGCCGAGTGGCCAGGGTTGGGGAGGAGACCCTGCTTGCTGTCCTAATGGCCTAGGTGCTTCGAAGGAATCCACTGGCCTTGGAAGGCGGCTGGGGCGGTTTCCTGCTCTGACCTCCCTCCCACTTAGGGCTCCCAACAGCGCACCCCACACTCCCCGGCCTGCCCCCTGGTGCCCTGTGGGAATCTGTCCACTCGAGCCCTGAGACCTGCCAGCCCCTACAACTGGCACCAAGGCTACGGCCATCACTAAGTGCAGCCAGGGCCTGTCACAGCCTGCCCAGGATGGCCCATGGAGACTCATAGCTGAGCAGGGGCCGCTGGGTGAGCCCAGGCAGGCACCCCAGAGAGGGTGGCAGTGCAGGGCCTGGAGAATGATGCAGTGGTTCCCAGAGGCCAGGGAGGGCGAGCAGGGGCAGGCAGACAGCACAGCAGGGGGAGGGGGAGGCTGTGGGGGTCCCTCTGAAAGGCTGCTAGCTGGAGGGACACTGGGCTGTCCAGGCAGGAAATCTTAAGGAGCATGTGGGACAAAGGCAGCTTGATGAGCACCAGGGGCCCCGGCGTCCAGCCTCTGAGGCTGCTCGCACTCAAGGCCGGGCTCGGACAAGGAGGGAGATGGCAGTTCCTCCCCTCCGCCCCACCGCCCTGGTATTCCTGGATGGGCTAATCATCAGCTCATGGTCACTGGGGGACATCAGGTAGGCAGCACGGTAAGACCCAGGTCTGTTCTGACCCTGGCTGCTCACTTCCCCCCACTTTTCCGGGGGAGATTCTGGAACTTTCCAGAAGCTAGCAGAGAACCTAGCTGCTCTGGCCCCGTAAGGACCTGCACGACACACCCAGGCACCCAGCTTCCCAGCACTTAGAGCCCCAGCTGCCATGCCACCCTCCACCCCGGGAAATTCCAGCTGCCCCCGAGGGCCTGGGGGTGGGGTGAGCAGAGGACAGCAGGGCCCCCAACTCACGCCTCCTCGTTGTTCAGCACGTCCAGGAGCTGCCCGACGAGGGCGTCCTTAGGGAGCGCCTGGCTCCGCTCCAGGGCCTGCAGGAAGAGCTGCTTGCCGAAGCACAGCTTCCGCCACGGTGTTTCCAGCAGTGCGTTGCTCAGCCCGTAGGTCCCTGCGGGGAGGGGTCAGCCTGGCCATGCAGAGGACCCGCTGTATGACTCCGGCGTCAACTCCCACCCGCCCACCTAGCCAGGAGGACGGTGGACCAGACCACATCGGGTCCCCCCCGCCCCACCCAGGACTCCAACACTGTCTCTAGGCCACTTCTGACCCACTAGTGCAGCGAGGGCACCCCCAGGAGGCCCTGAGGCACAGGGCCCAGGCAGCCTGGATGGACGGGCAACCAAAGACCCAATGGGCAAAGGTGGTCGTGGGGGGTTGTTATTCAACGGGGCTTCGCCCACCCACCCCCACTGCGGGGCTGTCTGGGAGGGTGCAGGGTGCGAGAGCACCCTGCACGAAGATCCGTCCTGACTCATGGCAGCAGTAAGGGGGCTACCCTCCCCCAACGTCGGGGGAGGCTTAGGCAGGGCCCGCGCGGAGCACGGCCTGCCCGGTTCTGCGCATGCGTGCGCACGCACACACATCAGCCAGGACCCAGCCAGGACCCAGCCAGGACCCAGCCAGGACAGCGAGGGGGGCGTCTCCGAGCAAGGCCTGTGAGCTGTGGATTCTCAGAACAAGTTCCCAGAGTGCAGACGGGAGGTGTGACCGACAGGAAAAGGGTTGGTTTCTCCTGCTGCCGAAGGGAGCGACGCAGACTGGTGGGGGAGGTGCAGGGACCCCCTGGGAGCCCCATCTCCAGAGGCCTGGGCTGCAGGGGCTGGCGTGCTGGGACCCATGCATCCTGAACGCTGCCCCGGGGAGGCTGAGATGCAGCCTCTGCCCCACCAGACCTCCCAGTGAGGACGTGCGCGGAGTCTGATGTAGCCCCCAGTCGTAGCTCTGCTGGGGTGCCGACAGCTGAGCCACTGTGTGTGTGTGTGTGTGTGTGTGTGCTTCCATCAGGGACAACTCAGAAGACCCCTCAGAATCCTAGAAGTGGGCAACTGGGCAGCCATGGGCAAAGCTTGGAGTTGGACCCGACCTCGCACCGTAGGCATGCCAAAATGTCACATCACAGACATACGTGACACAGCTACAGCTGTAAAAGTCCTAGAAGGAAACACGCAAGGGGCAAGGCTTCCTGACCTCAGATCAGGCCACGATTTCTGAGACAAACCACCAGAAGCACAAGCAACACAATTTAAAAAAAAAAAAAAAAAAAAAAAATGCATCAAAAGTTAAAAGTTCTGGGCCTCAAAAGCTAGCAAGGAGGTGAGGCTAGCTTCGAAGCCCCGGGTGACCCTGACCCCTCAGTGCCTGGCCAGGGGCGCACTGCAGAGTTCATCTGTTGTCCCCGCCTGGCCCACACCAGGGCTGGCCTCCAGTTCCCAGCCTGCCCGGTGACATTTCAGCCACAGGTGGCCGGGTGACTCCAGGGTGGCCCCCTTTGGTGGGTGGTATCCAGGCCCATTCATCCTGGGCCAGATGGGATCCTCAAAGGAGGCAGCCCCCCACCCCAGCCAAACACACACACACACCCCTGAAGGGAGCGGGGCCTCTGCACACACACCTGCTGCCCCGCCCCTGGCCTCCATGTGTGCAGGGAAGGGGCGGCCCACCCTGCCAGCCGCTGGATGCTGTGGAGTAGCAGCAAGGCCCCTGGTTGCTCCCTGTGGACCTGGCCCTCCCCTCCTTGCCTTGACCTGAGCTGTAAGCCCCCCCCCCCACCAGGCCCAGCTGTTTCCAGAGCCTGGTGGTGGGGGGTGGGTGTAGCCACAGACAGGAGCCATGGGTGAAGCAGCAATGCAGGCAGCCCAGGTCTTGGGACGCTGCCTGCACCCGGTCCGCGCCTGTCCCCACAAGTCCCTGTGCTCCCCACCAGCCCCAGTGTCTCGGTGCCAGGGTTGCAGGGGGAGGGTGGAAGGTGTGTGTGCCCACTGCAGAGGAAGCCTGCGACTCCCAACATCGGGCTGTGGAGGGGGCGTGGCCACCCAGAGGCCAGGGGTGGGCGGAGCTGCAGAGGCTGAGCCCCCGCCCCCCAGGGCTCAGAGCACCTTCTGGACGCTGACAACCCAGGTGCAGGGACCACAACAGGGTCCACGACATGCAGTCCCAAAATGCGGCCAGGAGCAGCAGCCAAGGGCCGCAGGGGGCGGGGGCGGGGAGCCCAGGCTCGAGCCTCAGCAGCATCCTGAGGGCCGAGGGCTGTGCCGGACCGCATCCGCGTCATTTCCCAGGGGTGCCTGGGATCAGACCTGGGACCAGACATAGACTCTGTCCCTACAGTGCTCACGGGGCGGGGTGTGCGTGTGTGTGTGTGCGTGTGAGAGAGAGAGTGAGAGAGAGAGACAGAGATGACACTCTGCCCAGACTGGCTGGGGGAGCAGGGCACAGCAGCAAAGGCACCTACAGGGCAAAGGGTGCAGCTTGAGGACAGATGCTGGCCCAGGGCAGGGGGTGGACGGGGACCTGAGGGCCCGGGCAGAGGTGCAGGCAGCGTGCATTGGTGTGTAGCTGGAGTGAGGCACATGTGTGTGCCAGACACGGGGCCCCTGGGTGGTGACAGCACCAAAGGCCCTGAGAAGGGCCAGGCAGCTACAGGGCATGTAGGGGTGGCGGGTGGTGGGGTTACAGAGACCAGGCTGTGGGGTTGGGGTAGCCGGGCAGCAGGGCTGAGGCCCAGTGTCCACGACCGGTTCCCCATGTGGGGACGGGATACGGAGAGCTCAGAGGGCACAGAGCTCTCTGCAGTATCCCAGGCCAGGCCAGGCCCTGCACACAGCAGTCAAGAGTGCAGGCCCCCAGGGAGCAATGCAGCACCCGGCTCACAGCAGCCCCGCCTCCCCACCAGGCTGCCGGCAGCAGGCTCACCTGGCGCTAGGACGATGGGCTCGGGCTCCCCGCGGTTTCCGTAGTAGCAAACGACATCTCCCTTCGTTGTGCTGCGGCCGGATGAGAGCAGGTCAGACAGGGGCGTGGGGGGTTGGTGGGGGTGGGAGCAGGGCACGCACACAAGGGGCGGCGTCTGCCTCTGGCACCACCCAGCCAGGCCGGGGGTTGGGGGGGAGGCGCTGGAAGGTAGGGTCACAGAGACCCCAGCTCCTGCCCAGCACCCCTGGCTGACCCTCCTGCCTCCCTGAATGCCCTCGGCAGGGGCACAAGGAGGCCGCCTGTGCCAGGTACAGGCCTGACCTGCACCCACCAACACCAGCCCCCTCTGTCGGCTGTGGCCCCGACCTGAAGGCACCTCGTGGGCTAAGGGGGTGGGGCGGGGGCACAGACCACGCTCTCCTACTTTCCTGTGCTGAGTGTGCATTTTAGGGCCCTTTGGAATGTTCCAGTGTCTCAGTCCTACACTTCAGTCTATCTGCTGGAACATCCCTTTCTTAGCAAACTAAAGCGGACCACGCTGGGACCCGGGAGACGCCTCTTCAGGCTGGAGGCTGGATGCTGGATACGGGGCTCTGAGCCTTCAGGAGGAACATCGAGGAGAAAGGAGCAGGCGTGGGGATGGAGTCGGGGGCGTGGGGGGGTCCTCCCCTTCCCCCAGGCAGGACCCACCCCCACCCCAGCCAGCTGTGTTCACATCCGGTTCATGTTTCTCCCTCATCACAGCCCTAAGCAGCTTTCTTGGGATGCTGACTATGGGGCTGGTGCTGTGGCACAGCAGGCTGTCTCCTCCACCTGCAGGGCCGGCATCCCATATGGGCGCCGGCTCGTGTCCCCACTGCTCCTCTTCCAATCCCGCTCTCTGTTTATGGCCTGGGAAAGCAGTGGAGGATGGCCCAAGCGCTTGGGCCCTGCACCTGCATGGGAGACCCAGAAGAAGCTCCTGGCTCCTGGTCAGCCCAGCTCCAGCCGTTGCTGCCATTTGGGGAGTGAACCAGTGGATGGGAGACCTTTCTCTCTGTCTCTCCCTCTCTGTCTGTCTGTAACTCTGCCTCACAAATACACCAATGGAATCTTTAAAAAGATGCTGGGCTAACGCTTTTCAGAGGTTTTGTTCGCAGGCAGAAGGCGCTTCCGAGCTTCTGGTGTGAGAACCTTAGAAGTAGGAGGCCACTCTCGGCTGTGGCCGGGGCCCCCCGGAGCCGGGGAGGGAGGCTCTGACCCCGCGACAGCTGTGGCCAGGCTGAGTCTCCCTCCCTTCCAGGCGCAGACTTCCAACTGCTCCCAGCTGCCGACCGACACAGGGACACGCCCCCTGCCCACTGTATGCCCTCCTGGGCGGTGTCAGGGAGGCGGGACCTGACCCCTCCAGGCTCTGGGAGCTGGGAGAGCTGCTCGGGCTCCAGCCCCGACTGCAGGAGCCACCTGCCCACGCATCCACTCTGAGAATAGTGCCTTTCATGTCCCACCCTCAGGGCTCCTGAGAGCACTGACCCTACCACGTCACAGCACGGGTCTGCTCTGATCTGGGGTCCCATCAACACCTGAACGTGGGGGAGCAGAGGGCACAGGCAGCCAAGGGCGTGAGAGGAAGGTTCCAGAGCAGCTGCTCCCGTGGGACGACGAAGGTGTCTCTCCATGCAGGGGCGGGAAGCTGCCGTGCACGGTGGGCCTGGGGCTTAGGAGCCCTGGACTTGCCCTTACGGGAGGCGGCAGCCTCAGCACGGACATCTGGACGCGGCAGCGCTGGGGTCTGGACCACCACCACAGCGGCCCACGCATCACAGGCTTTGCCCATGGGGTGGCCTCGGCCTCAGGGCAGCACGACTGGGGGGCAGTGGGATCTTCAAGAGCGGGGCCCAATGCGGTGTCCTTGGGTCCCTGGAGCCCGGCCTTGGGAACACAGTTCTCACAGGAGGGTCCTCCCAGAAGCCTGAGCTTGGGGCCAACAACCGCCCCCCCCCCACACACACACGCTATGTGGGGCGTTCGCCATGGTCTGCAAGTGCTGTTTTGACTCTTAGCTTCCTAAACTGTGAGCTACTAAGCAAACCTCTCTCTCTCTTTCTTTCTTTCTTTCTTTTTTGACAGGCAGAGTTAGTGAGACAGAGAGAAAGGTCTTCCTTTCCATTGTTTCACCCCCTAAATGGCCACTACGGCCGGCGCGCTGTGCCAATCTGAGCCAGGAGCCAGGTGCTTCTCCTGGTCTCCCATGGGATGCAGGGCCCAAGCACTTGGGCCATCATCCACTGCACTCCAGGGCCACAGCAGAGAGCTGGCCTGGAAGAGGGGCAACCGGGACAGCATCCGGCACCCCAACCGGGACTAGAACCCGGGGTGCTGGCACTGTAGGCGGAGGATTAGCCTAGTGAGCCACGGCGCCGGCCAAACCTCTCTTTCATCAACAGCACATTTCAGGGTTTTGTCGTAGAATCCAGGAGCAGACTGATTGCGGGCAGCAGGGTGCTGACCTCCTGCCCTGTCTTCCTGTCCTGGAGGAAGCCCCTGGCCTAACCGTGTGCCTTGACACCTGGGGCCAGGTGGCACCGGGCAGGGTGGCTGTCCCCCCAACCCCGGCAGACCCACCTCAAGTCGGCAGCTAGGAGGTTGAAGCCGTTGTACAGGTGGCCCTCGACGGAGACCTTCTTCAGGTAGGACAAGCTGTCCAGGTCCGTGGTCAGAAAGTGGGTCACGAGCTCACCTGCGGGCAGGGGGACAGACGCCCGTGGCCGAGGCAGCAGGAAAGAGCCTTTCTCCCCGGGAGGACTGAGGTGGGGCCCCCAAGGAGGATGAAGGCAGACGGGGGGCAGAGGGAATCACACTGGAGACCCTCCGCCTGGAGTCAGCCATGCCCCTTCAACTCAGCCAAAAGCCTTCAACAGGCTACCCACCTCATTACTTCTCCATGATGGAAAGGGATCAGGAAGAGGGTGGGGGTGGGGTGGAGGAAGCACCAGGAGTGGGGGCAATGTGTGCCCACAGAGCTGTCCTCTGGTCAGCAGCGGGGACAGTGAGGCAGTGGTTGGGAGTGACACCCTCGGGGGGCTGACAGGCAGGCACGGAGCAGGTCCCATGTCACGTGGGCCAGGCTGAGGTGGCTCCAAACGAGGCCCACACTTCTCCTTTCTCTTCCACGTGATCCCCATACCCCTACCCCACAACTTGAGGAAGCCCTGCAGGACCCCACCTGACCCCTCTCCCAGCTCCACCCTACCCGCACCCTCATCACGCCCGCCTCACCAAGTCCCTGCCTGCTGCACCTCGGCCCCGCCCCTCCCACGTCGACTCCGCCCCATTGGCCTCAGCCCCGCCCTGGCCACGCCCCTGCCCAGCTAGACTCCGCCCAGCTGCCGCGGCCCCGCCCCGCCCCAGGAGCCGCTGCCCGCCCTACCTCGGCCTCGGGCCTCCGGGTCCTGCCGCGGCTGCAGGTAGTTAGTGAGCGCCGCCAGCTTCCCGCGCGTGCTGATGCCCAGCCACGTGCCGCCTTCCCTGCCCTCCTCCATGTCGAGCCCTGCCGCAAACCACAAGCATTACTACCCACAGGGCCCGCCACCAAGAGGTCCGGACCCCACCCGGCCCCTGCCCCGATCCCTGGGAGACGCAGAATGGGCAGAATGCGTCTGGAGCGCCGGGGGTGGTGCAGGAGCAGGGCCCACAGGCCCAGATGCACCACGCGCCAGGGCCCGCCTGAGGCTGGGGAGGCCTAAAGCCGCAGGAGGACGCTCTCCTAAAGAGGAAGTCATCTTACCCAAGGCGGGGCAGACAGAGCCAAGTCGTCAAAATGTGATTGTGAAAATATCTACTTGGGGGACTGGTGCTGTGGCATAGCGGGTAAAGCCTGCCGTGCTGGCATCCCATATGGATGCCGGTTCGAGTCCCGGCTGCTCCACTTCTGATCCAGCTGTCTGCTATGGCCTGGGAAAGCAGTGGAGGATGTGCCAATCCTTGGACCCTTGCACCCACGTGGGAGATCAGGAAGAAGCTCTAGGATCCTGGCTTCGGATCGGCGCAGCTCTGGCCACTGTGGCCAATTGGGGAGTGAGCCAGAGGATGGAAGACCTCTCTCTCTCTGCCTCTCCTTCTCTCTGTGTATAACTCTGACTTTCAAATAAATAAATCTTTTTAATAAGTCTCTGCATATATATATATATATGAAAGTCAGTTACACAGAGAGAGAAGGAGGGGCAGAGAGAGAGAGAGAGAGAAGTCTTTCATCTGCTGGTTCACTCCTCAATTTGCTGCAACGGCTGCAGCTGTGCCAATTTGAAGCCAGGATCCAAGAGTTTCTTCCAGGTCTCCCACGCGGGTGCAGGGGCCCAAGGACTTGGGCCATCTTCCACTGCTCTCCCAGGCCATAGCAGAGAGCTGGATCGGAAGTGGAGCAGCCAGAATTCAAACCGGCGCCCATACGGCATGCCAACACTGCAGGTGGCGGCTTAATCTGCTATACCACAGTGCCGGCCCCTCAAGTAAATAAATCTTTTTTATCTTTTATCTTTTTTTTTTTTTTTTACAGGCAGAGTTAGACAGTGAGAGAGAGAGAGAGAGAAAGAAATGTCTTCCTTCTGTTGGTTCACCCCACAAATGGCTGCTACAGCCGGCGCGCTGCAGCTGGTGCACTGTGCCAATCCGAAGCCAGGAGCCAGGTGTTTCCTCCTGGTCTCCCATGCGGGTGCAGGGCCCAAGCACTTGGGCCATCCTCCACTGCACTCCCTGGCCACAGCAGAGAGCTGGACTGGAAGAGGAGCAACCGGGACAGAATCCGGCGCCCCGACCGGGACTAGAACCCGGTGTGCAGGCGCCACAGGCGGAGGATTAGCCTAGTGAGCCGTGGTGCCAGCCAAAATAAATCTTTTAAGAAAAAAAAAGTATGCCATTCACAACAGTGTTAAAAAAAAAAAAAACACTTAGTATGGGGGCTGGCATTGTAACATAGCAGATAAAGCTGCAGGGCCAGCTTCCCATATGAACACTGGTTTGAGTCCTGGCTGCTCCATTTCCAACCCAGCTCCCTGCTAAATGCATCTGGGGAATGAACCAGCACGTGGAAGGTCTCTCTCTCTCTCTCTCTCTCTCTCTTTCAAATAAATAATTTTTAAAAAAAAATAGTATGATTAAAAAAAAGTTACTTAGGGAAATGTTCAAGCGGGATGGGTGATACTCAAAGATGGAAATCCACAGGGTGCCGCAGAGAGAAGTGGAGCTGACCTGATTTAAGGAGAGCTGTCAAGACTGACTACTGTTCCATGACACTTCTGCCCACAGGACTCTGGGTTTGCACAATCCCAATCAATTCAAACCACCAGCAGGGGGCGTGTGCTGGGATGCAGCCCGTTAGGCCACAGCTTGAGATGCCAGCATCCCAAATGGGACTGCCGGTTCCACTCCCAGCTGCTCTGCTTACAGCCCAGCTACTCCGCTCCTTGCTAATGGGCCTGGGAGGCAGTGGATGATGGCCCAGGGACTCCGACCCCTGCCACCCACCTGGGAGAATAACACAGAGTCCCTAGCTCCTGGCCTGTTGTGGGGGAACGAACCAGCAGATGGAAGGATTCTCTTAGTCATTTAGATAAATAAGTAAACCTTTAAACAAACAAAGCAAACCAAAAGCACACAGCAGGTCTGTCACAGAGAGTGACTGGCTGTCCCTAAAGCAGAAAGCAGACAGAGCTGGAGGACTCACACACTAATTCCAGGACTTCGGGAAAGGCATCGGGGTGGCCTTGTGGTGTAACGGGTTACACTGATGCTTGGGATGCCTGTGACCCAGTCCCTGCTGATGCCCCTGGGAGGCAGCAGACGATGGCTCCAGTGCCTGGGTTCCTGCCACCCATGTGAAATACCCGGATGGAACTCCTGACTCCTGGCTTCACCCTGGCCCACCCCCAGCTGCTGTGGGCCGTCACAGACTGAGTCTACGAAGGACCACCCTTCTCTCTGTATATCCCCACCCCACCCCCAACCCCTGTCACTCTGCCTTTCAAATAAACATAAAACCTTTAAAAAAAAGTGACAATAAACAGTAGTGGAGACAGTTTGGCATTGGCATCCACACACACAGACAAATGGGACACGAGAGGGGCTCAGGACTGATTTATAATTGCCACAGTCATGGAAGAAGCGAAAGAATACCCAATTACGAAATAATGCTGAGACGGGGGAAGGGGATGAACCTCGACCCCTGCTCCAAACCAGGAATAAACAAACAAAAACCGGCCGGCGCCGCGGCTCACTAGGCTAATCCTCCGCCTTGCGGCGCCGGCACACCGGGTTCTAGTCCCGGTCGGGGCGCCGGATTCTGTCCCGGTTGCCCCTCTTCCAAGCCAGCCCTCTGCTGTGGCCAGGGAGTGCAGTGGAGGATGGCCCAGGTGCTTGGGCCCTGCACCCCATGGGAGACCAGGAAAAGCACCTGGCTCCTGGCTCCTGGCTCCTGCCATCAGATCAGCACGGTGCACCGGCTGCAGCGCGCCGGCCACGGCGGCCATTGGAGGGTGAACCAACGGCAAAGGAAGACCTTTCTCTCTGTCTCTCTCTCTCACTGTCCACTCTGCCTGTCAAAAAAAAAAAAAAAAAAAAAAAAAAAAAAAAAAACAATCTGGGATAAAGCTCGGACCAAAATCCCAAATCGAAAGACTTCTGGGAAAAATATTGCTGTAGTCTTTTTTAAAAAAAGATTTATTACTTTTATTTGAAAGGCAGAGTTACAGAGAAGCAGAGGCAGAGAGGGAGAGGGAGAGAACTCTTCCATCCATTGGCTCATTCCCTAAACAGCCGCAAAAGCTGGAGCTGGGCTGATCTGAAGCCAGGAGCCAGGAGCTTCTTCCAGATCTCCCACACCGGTGCAGGGGCCCAAGGACATGGGCCATCTCCTACTGCTTTGCCTACCTTAAGACCATAACGGGGCCAGGGCTGTGGCATAGCAGGTAAAGCCACCACCTACAGTGCCAGCATCCCATACGGGCACCAGTTCTAGCCCCGGCTGCTCCACTTCTGATCCAGCTCTCTGCTGTGGCCTGGGAAAGCAGTACAAGATGGCCCAAGTCCTTGGGCCCCTGCACCCATGTGGGAGACTCGGAAGAAGCTCCTGGCTCCCGACTTCGGATCTGGCGCTGCTCTGGCCGTTGGGGCCAACTGGGGAGTGAACCAGCAGATGGAAGACCTCTCTTTCTCTCATTCTCTCTCTCTCTCTTTCTCTCTTTCTGTCTCTCTGCCTCTGCCTCTCTGTAACTTTGCCTTTCAAATAAATAAATAAATCTTTTTTAAAAATGTGAGTAGGCAGTACATTTATCATACATAACCATACATATCATACATAACCAGAATGCATAAAGAAATCCTACAAATCAACAATTTAGAAAATGAGCCGGGGGCACACATTTAGCCTAGCAGTTAGGACACCCACACCCCCCACTGCAGTACATGGGTTTCACTCCCACCTCTGGCCCCTGGGTCCAGCATTCCTGCTAAAGCCCACCCTGGGAGGCAGCCACGATGGTTCAAGTGATTGGGTTTCTGCCACCCACGTGGAAGACCTGGATTGAATTTCCAGCCCCAACCTCTCAAGTAAATAAAACAAACAAATAAATCCTTTTCAAAAAAACAAAAGAGAATGAAAGCCCCATATTCACCCTTGACCAAGCAACGGGAACCAGACTTGTCTATCCACATACAACTAATAACAAAAACAAAAACACATGAAACAATGTTTTTGTTGGTTTGTTTGATTTAAAGATCTATTTATTTGAAAGGCAGAGTTAGAGACAGAGAGAACCTTCATCCGCTGGTTCACTCCCCTAAATGGCTGCAACAGCCAGGATTGGGCCAGGTTAAAGCCAGGAGCTAGGAGGTCCTTCTGGGTCTCCCATGTGAGTGCAGGGGCTCAAGCACTTGGGCCATCTTCCACTGCTTTCCCAGGTGCATTAGCAGGGAGCGGGATGGGAAGTGGAGCAGCCAGGACTTGAACAGGGGCTCATATGGGATGCCAGCACTGCAGGCCGTGAAGTTAACATACTAAGCCACAACAACGGCCCCTGAAACAATGGGTCTCAAGAAAGAGGACCCAAGAGGCGGGAAACAAATTAGCTGAGTGGGGGCCCAGGCAGAGTCCACTGGACTCCCTGAGCTGAAGACAGGGCCCAGGAGTCTGGGGGAGGCTGAGGCACTAGGATTCATGGGACAGAGGTCCAGAGAGATGTACAAACCCCGGAGGTCAGATCGGCACAGGTGTACAGGGAACTCTCAAGGCTGGGAAAGAGCTGCCTGGGAGGACCAGAGGGAATGGCGCTCACACAGGGCAGGGCAGACTGCCAGTACCAGAAACCAGGGTGGGAAACCTTAGAAAGCAGGGGGCACTGGGAAAAACAGAGAGAAAGACCCTGGGAAATAATCAGCACTAGCCTGGGGACAGCCAGCGCTAACGACCGGATCTTCAGAACAAGATCTGAAAGGGTGCCAGGTGTTTCCGAGTGACTTCACTGTGGTCCAGGGGAAAAAGCTCAGGAATAGCTAAAGGGGAGGGGGCAGGCGCTAGGGCACCGCAGGGTAAGCAGGCCGCTGCATGCAACGCCAGCCTCCCATACATCAGAGTGCTGGTTCCAGTCCTGGCTGCTCTGCTTCTGATCCAGCTCCCTGCGAATGCACCTGGGAAAGCAACCGAAGATGACCCAAGTGCTCGGGCCCTGCCACTCACATGGGAGACTCGGATGGAGTTCTTGGCTCCAGCCTGGTCCAGCCCCAGATGTTGCAGGGAATGAAACAGCAAATGGAAGACTCTCTCTCTCTTATTTCTCTCTCTCTCTGCCTTTCAAATAAATTTATTTTGTAAAAAAAAAAAAAAGGTATATTTAGAGATATGCAAAAATATTCAGCCTCCAACTAGATAGGATCCATAAATGCCTGCCACTCAACCAAAAGTCTCCAGACGTGCAAAGCAGCAGGACAGCACAGCCCACTAGGAGTTCAGTCCATTCATTAAAGAACAGACACCTGGCCGGTACTGTGACATAGAACGTTAAGCCTTCGTCTACATTGTCGGCATCCCATTTAAGCTTCAGTTTGAGTCCTAGCTACTCTACTTTTTTTTTTTTTTTTTTTGACAGGTAGAGTTATAGACAGTGAGAGAGAGAGACAGACAGACAGACAGAAAGGTCTTCCTTCCGTTGGTTCACTCCCCAAATGGCCACCATGGCCGGCACTGCGCCAATCCGAAACCAGGAGCCAGGTGCTTCTCCTGGTCTCCCATGTGGGTGCAGGGGCCCAAGCACTTGGGCCATCCTCCACTGCCCTCCCAGGCCACAGCAGAGAGCTGGACTGGAAGAGGAGCAACCGGGACTAGGACCTGGCACCCATATGGGATGCCGGCGCCGCAGGCGGAGGATTAACCAAGTGAGCCACGGTGCCAGGCCCCTGGCTACTCCACTTCTGACCCAGCTCCCTGCTAATGTGCCTGAGAAAGCAGCAGAGGACGGCCCTGCACCCACATGGGAGACCCAGAAGAAGCTCCTGGCTTCAGCTCAACCCAGTTCCAGCCACTGCAGCCATCTGGGGAGTGAACCAGGGGATCGAAGACCTCTTTCTCTCTCTCTGCCTCTGGCTCTCCTTCTCTGTAATTCTGACTTTCAAATAAATAAATAAATCTTAAAAAAAAAAAAAAAAGAATGGACACCAAGGCCATAACTGGCCTTGTGGCTGTGTTCATAAGCTATAAAAATGGGATTTCTAGAGCTGACAACTGCAATGTGCGAAATGCAGAACACAGTGGCTGGATGGGCGTGAGAGCAGGTCAGGTGGCCCGGGGGCAGGACACACAGGGGTCTTCACAAAGCCTGTGCAGAGTGAGTACCACGAAAAAGCCATGTATGGATCTCAACATTTTCTGTACCAAAACAAACTTATGCTTTTGTTTTTTTGTTGTTGTTGTTGAGATTTATTTTATTTGTTTGAAAGGCAGAATGACAGAGACAGTGTGAGAGAAAGATGTTCCATCTGGGTCACTCCCCAGATGGCCACAATGGCTGGGGCTGAGTCAATCCAGAGCCAGGAGCCAGGAATACCAACCGGGTCTCCCATGCGGATGGCAGGGACCCAAGCACCTGGGCCATCCTCTGCTGCCTTCCCAGGTGCGTTAGCAGGGAGCTGGATCGGAAGCGGAGCAGAACTCGAACCAGAACTCTGATATGAATGCCTGAGACATGTATGGCGGCTTAGCCCACCGCATCACGACAGCAACCTCCAAACTTATTATTTTAACTCCATTTTCCCATCAGCTTTCAGAAGTACCCTCATAGCAACAGAAATGACCTAAAACGGAACACAGAGAGAAAAGGAGGTCCTCCAAAACGAAGCGAGACGTGGACAGCCTCAAGTGGACTAACACACATGGGACTGGAGCTGGCGAGGGGTGGGGAGGACTGGACAGAGAGGGAGAGCAGGAGACAGGAGGGAAAGAACTTGAAGAAGTCCCAGCCAGCCGGGCTTTTATCAATCCGATGATTTGCACTTCTGGCACGTACGATGGAGAGCTGTTGCCACTGGTCCAAGGACCTCACCAGCCTAAACTTCTGCACCGACACCGGATGGTGAGAGGAAGGGGCCTTAGCACCTTTCACCTGTAAGGTGGACGTGCCAACTGCTGGGACCGTCGGCACAGCAAGGGGTGTGGGTGGGAAACAGAAACACAACATCAGGTGCACCTGTGTCGCACAAGGACCCAACCCACGCTCCCATGGCAAGGGTGATCTTTTCGCCTGATGTGACCTGTTCTTCCGGGGGTCCCACAGCACATGAAGCCACACCAACGGTGCTGGGTGCACAGTCCGGGTCTGCCTGGCCCCGGCGGCTGGGCGCACAGTCCCGGGTCTGCCTGGCCCCGTGCAGCCGGGTGCACTCGTGCGCGGAAGCAGTGCGTGGACTCACCGCTGAGGATCTCGTTGTTGCTCCCCCAGAAGTCTGCTAACTTGGACGGCCTGTGATAGAATTCGTCCCTGTTGGCAGCCAGGATGAGCCTGGGGGGTGGGGCAGGAGGAGCCTGGCTGTCTCCAACGCAAGCAAAACAACAGAAGCCGCCCTCTTCCCTCTCTCGCTCCCACAGGGAAAGCGGCCCCAGCGGCAGCAGCGTTTAGCCTAGTGAGCCCGAAAGAAGCCAAGGCACCCACCGCCCTCCGTGCACCCGCCAGGATGGCGCCGGCAGCCAGCACCGCACTCAGAGTCCCTGCCCGGGAAATAGGCACGTGCTGCACACTACGTATATCTGCACTGCTCGGCATGGCGGGGACAGGTCCCGGGTGGCCTCATCCGCCGACACACACCTCACCCTTCCCAGCTGGTGGCAGGAACCAGGAGCAGGCAAGGGTTGTGCCTGGCACCAAGCATGCCCTGGGAGCCGCGTCTGGAGCTGGAGGGGGACGGGCCCCGTGTGAGCACCCCTGCTGCAGGCGCTCCAGCGCACACTCAGAACGTCCACAGCGTATGCGCGTCTGCTGAGGCTTTTGCTGTTGGAGAGGGCGCAGGGCAGGGGACTTCCCTGTGTTTTAGTCTTTCTTTGCGTGATGAATCAAACATGTTATTTCCTTGGTTACCAAAAGATGAGGGCGGGCATTTAGCCTAGCCGTTGGGACACCTGGGCCCACATCTGAGTGCCTAGGTTTGCTGCCTGGCTCCAGCTCCCGCTTCCTGCGAATGTGCACCCAGGGGAGCAACAGGTGATGGTTCAAGGGTTGGGTCCCTGCTACCCACATGGGAGATGTCAACTGAGTTCCCGGCGGCTCTCAGCTTCAGACTTTTGGAGAGTGAGCAGCAGATGGGATCTCTCTCTCTCTCTCTCTCTCTCTTTTAAAGATGTGGTCAAAATTTTAAGAACCCTGGTTTCAAGGGAGGAAACTGGAATTCCACCTAACCCTGGGTTAAACCACGGTGGTTGGAAGACCCTCAGGTACTGTGCTGTGAGCAGGTCCATGAAGCAGGTGCCACAGCCCCCACGGGCAGGAGCTTGGTGGGCTGCTGGTTATGCTGGATCTAAAGCCAGGATGTGATGGTGAGACCATATTGAGGTTGTTTTTTTTTTTTAAGATTTATTTATTCATTTATTTGAAAGAGTTACAGAGAGAGAGGGAGGGAGGGAGAGAAGGAGAGAGGGGGAGAGAGGGAGAGAGAGAGAGAATCTTCCATCTGCTTGTTCACTCCCCAAATAGCCACACGGCCAGGGCTGTGCCACACTGAAGCCAGGAGCTTCATCTGGGTCTCCTCTGTGGGTGCAGGGGCTCAAGCATCTGAGCCATCCTCCACTGCTTTTCCCAGGCCACCAGCAAGGAGCTGGATCAGAAGCGGAGCAGGAGTCGGCGCTGTGGTGGAGCAGGTAAAGCCGCCGCCTGTAGTGCTGGCATCCCATGTAGGTGCCAGTTCAAGTCCCGGCTGCTCCACTTCTGATCCAGCTCTCTGCTATGGCCTGGGAAAGCAGTAGAAGATGGCCCAAGTCCTTGGGTCCCTGCACCCACGTGGGAGACCCAGAGGAGGCTCCTGGCTCCTGGCTGCAGATCGGTGCAGCTCAAGCCAACTGGGGAGTGAACCAGCGGATGGAGGACCCTCCCTGCCTCTTCTTCTCTACATGTGTAACTCTGACTTCCAAATAAATAAATCTTTAAAGCAAAACAAAACAAAACAAAAGGAAGTGGAGCAGCCAGGACATGAACCAGTGCCCATATGGGATGCTGGTGTCACAGGCAGTGGCTTCACTGGCTATGCCACAACACTGGACCCCATAAAGAATTTTTTAAGACTCCAGTATCAATTGCATTGCTTCTGGGAAGCACTTGCTCATGGCGAGACACAAACTAATAACGATGTAGCTAAAACCCAAAGGGAAGGAAGCGCATGGTGGCACAGCAGGTAAGCATCCCATATCTGAGTGCTGGTTCAAGTCCTGGCTGCTCCACTTCCCATTCTAGCTCCCTGTAATGCGCCTGGGAAAGCAGTGGAGGATGACCCAAGTGCTTGAGCCCCTGCCATCTGGCTGTTTGCAATCATTTTTGGGAGTGAACCACAGATGGAAGAGCTCTCTTTGATTCTCCCTCTAAGTCTTTCAAAAAAGAAAAAAAAAAAATCCAAAGTGAAATTCGTGACAGCACCCAGGGGAGCCAAGGTGCCCCTCTGTGCACCTCCCCAGGAAGCCCCAGACCTCCCAGGGCTCTGGGTCCCATCCACACAGACGGCTCCAAGGGCTGCACTGGGTCTCAGGCCCATGCAACAACCCAAGACAGATAGGGGCGGGGTGGCCACTGTCCCAGACAATCCTCTGCAGTATGGAGTTCCAACCCGGACCTCCAGCTGCTCTGTCCCGTCTGGGCAGAGGGGCCCCGCCCACACCAGCCACTGTGCCTCCCTGCCCTGCAATGCTCTGGCAGGCAGCCCATGTCCCTCTGCGCTGCGGACCATGCTGGGTAGAAGGGGCCTGTTAGCTGCGGCTTAGGCAGTGGTCAGGAAGACGCAGAGTCCACCATTACCAAGCATGAGACAAGGAGCTGCTGCGGGGAGGCACGCCCACCTCCCCCCAAGCCCCACCCCCAATGTGGGTGGGGGCGGGGCGGGGTCAAGTCCCACGTGGTCCGGTCCCAGCCCCCTCTCTTAAATAGTGCGCATTCCTCCTCCGGCTTGTGAGTAGGGCGTAGGTCCCGCCAGCCCCGCTGCCCCCAGGGAGAGGGCGCTGAGCTATTGGCTCCGATCCTTATGTAAGCTTCCGGCAAAGAGAAAATAAAGTGCGCGGGTGGGGGAGAACGCGAAGAAAAGCTGAGTCAGCACAGACTAAGGCGCTCAGCAGCCTATTTTTAAACAAGGACTGCGCTCCCCTAATAACTCCCACGCGTTAACTGGCCGGTTATTTTTATCACGGGAGCCGCTGCTCGGCTGACAGGCGAGTGGATCGCCGGGGATTTCATCAAACGCAGGAATCAGGGATGCGTGGGCGGGACGAGACCCTGCAGGGCCCGGACCCCAGGGGAGGGAGTGGTGAGCGCCTCAGCCAATGCTCTGGGGGCTGCAGTGCAGGGCGGATGGAGGTCTGAGCGCCTGCACTCTGTGTGCCAGTGGGCCGGAGTGCGCCCAGCACGGTGAGGGGCTCGGATAGCAGGAGACACCCTTCCCCCCACTTTACTGAAACTAATTATCCTTCATCAGGCCTCCCCACACCACTGGGGGTGAGCATGCACCATGTAGGAGTGTGCACGCTTTCTCTCAGTGGTGTGTGTGTGTGTGTGTGTGCGCGCGTGCACCACCTGAGGGTCACAAACATGTGACCGTCCGCGATGACCCCGTGGAAGTCACCCCGAGAGTGCCATGGTTTGCCCAAGCAGCCTCAGCAGGCAGGGGCCTGGTTTTGGGGAGAAAGGGGGGCTTACATGAGAGGGTGACAGGGTTGTCCTGGCTTTCTCTGCAGAGTTCAATCACCACAGCTTGGTGGCTTAAAGGAACACCCTTTCAAGCAGTACACACTGGTCTGGGAGTCCAGGCCCAGCTCCATCGGAGCCTTCTGTGCAAGGTCTCTTGGGGTACTGGCCAGGGCCCCCACAGAAGCATCGGCCCCACCAACCTGCTGCAGCTGCCATCCTCACCAGCGGTGCCTCCCAGCGCTGGAACGGAAGCGGTCACAGGAGGCCCTGGCACCCACCTACCCCCAACACACACACACAGCTGGGGACACCCGGTGTGTCATCAGCCAGCCACTGGAGGCTGTGTCTTCAGTCCGTGGCCAGGTCCTTGAGGTCAGGTCCTGGAGGTGACTCGTGTACTCCAGAACAAGGTCCTACAGTTCTGGAAAGTTCTGCAAAGTCAAGGTGTCGGCAGCGAGGGCCTGTTTGGGAGCTGCTGTCCTCGGCCCATGGACCCTGACCCACGCTGGCGGCCCGTGGTACCTGTCTGTGCCCTCTCATCTTCTTATAAGGACATCAGCGGAATCGTCCAGGGGCCCTTATGTATGACCACGATTCACCTGTGTCACATCTGTTTTTTAATATGGAGAGGCAGAGGCAGAGGCAGAAAGGTCAGTCTTCCATCTGCTGGTTTGCTCCCTAAATGGCCACAATGGCCAGAGCTGGGCTGATCCGAAGCCAGGCTGATCTGAAGCCAGGAGCTTCTTCCAGGTTCCCCACGTAGGCGCAGGGGCCCAAGGACTGGGATCATCTTCCGCTGCCTTCCCAGGCACACCCGCAGGGAGCTGGATCAAAAGTGGAGCAGCTGGGACCTAAACATGGGATGTTGGCACTGCAGGCAGTGGCCCTTCCTGCTACGCCACAGTGCTGGCCGAACCTCTGTCACATCTGGACAGGGCCTGTCTACAGATACAGCCACATCCTGTGGCACTGGCAGTGGGATCTGAGGGGGTCGGAATTCAGCCCGTGGCAACCTGTGACTGTGGACACCCAACAGCCAAAAGTCGGTTCCATGGCTGGTGCTGCCCCCCACTCAAGGTGCTGTGCCCTCGCTTCCTGGGAGCTGGCGAGGATAGCCCCAGTGGGAATCCTTGGCACAAAGCCCGACTTTCTTTCTCCCTTTCAAAGAAAGATTGATTTGTGTATTTGAAAGGCAGAGTTACAGAGACAGAGAGGGATCTTCCATCTGCTGGTTAACTCCAAAAATATCTGCAACGGACAGAGCCGGGCCAATCTGAAGGCAAGACCATCTTCCAGGTCTCCCACGTGGGTGCAGGGCCCCAAGCACTTGGGCCATTTTCTGCTGCTTTCCCAGGCACAGTCACAGGGAGCTGGATCAGAAGCAGAGCAGTCGGGATTCCAACTGGTGCCCACATGAGATGCAGGCATTGCAGGCAGCAGCTTAATCCGCTGTACCACCACACCGGCCCAAGCAGCCTGGCTTTCTCCTGGGTATTTTCAGCCTGCGTTAGTTTTTTCACCAGTTCTCCAATTATCCATGGTTGCCAAGGTGGGGGTAGAGGGAAAGAGGGCTGACCAGAGGTCAGGGTGATTTGGGGGGTCTGAGCTGGCCGGCCAAGACTGGATGGAAGCAAGTGACCAGGCAGGCCTAGCAGGCCACGTGGGCAAGCTCTTGGTGCCAGCTCCCAGGCTGGACAGGAACAGCTTAGGGAACACTACAGCCGCCGGGTCTGGGTGCAGACACAGAGCATCAGGTTGGTCCCTGGGTGCAGAGCCGAGAGCAGCCAAGCAAGCCGGAGCCCAGCATGGCCTGCACACCACCCGGGAGCGAGGCTGCTGGTGGGTTTGCATGGGTCCTGCTTTCTCCCCCTGTTACATCCATCCATGGGTCCACTCCCCAAATGCCCACAACAGCCAGAGCTGGTTCAAGTTGAAGCCAGGTGGAGCCTGGAACTTGATCCAGGTCTCCCACGTGAGTGACAAGGACCTGGTGCTTAGCCATCACTCACTGCCTCCCGGGGTGAGCATCAGCAGGAAGCTGGAACTGGCAGCCAGAGTCAGGACCCGAACCCAGGCTGTTGTTGTTGTTGTTTTATGCGGGAAGCAGCATCTTGACTGTGGCAGCAAGTGCGTGCACCCCTACATGGTTCCTCTCTGTATGCACAGTTCCCCCTCTGTATGCACCCCTGCACGGTTCCCCTCTGCAGCCAGTTTGCAGGTGGTGTGTCCTCTCTCTCTCTTTAAAGATTTATTTATTTGAAATAGTTACACAGAGAGAAAAGGAGAGGCAGAGACAGAGAGAGAGAGGTCTTCCATCCACTGGTTCACTCCCCAGATGGCTGCAACAGCCGGAGCTGTGCTGATCCAAAGCCAGGAGTCAGGAGCTTCTTCTGGGTCTCCCACATGGGTGCAGGGGCCTAGGACTTGGGCCATTTTCTGCTGATTTCCCAGGCCACAGCAGAGAGCTGGATCAAAAGTGGAGTAGCCGGGACTTGAACTGGTGCCCATATGGGATGCCTGCCCTGCAGGCGGCAGCTTTACCCACTACACCACAGCGCCAGCCTCGAGGTGTGTCCTATTGTGCTTGCCATTCTCCTCTTCTCCCCCTTCTTCCAGTTTTGGCGGTCAGAGATAATAAATTCAGGGTGCAGAATATCACGTGGGGCTGTGGCTGGACCTGGGGGTAACCAAGGGAGCCAGTGACACACTTGGGGTCCACCCGTCCCCTGGCTGTGGGTCCCCATTCCAGGATGCCTTCACTTGCCAGCTGGAACCACAGTGTTGTGCTGCTGGGCGCAGGCGTTCGAGGGAATGTAAATAGTGCACGGGAAGCTACAAGCCAGACCTCGAGGGGCGGGCCGTGCCAGTTACCAAGTTACCCACATCTCAGCTCCACATCCTCGCTGGGTTGTCTGGGTTGAGAAATGGAGCTCGACTTGCAGCTGGCCTCTGCATCCTGTCAATAGAGGGCGCTGGAGAGCCGTGGAGGAGGAGGGGCTGCTGCTTTTCCCGGATCCCGCCAGGCACATACACCCGACCCTCTCCCAGGGGCTCATGACTGTTCCCAGCACCCGGGGAGGCACATTTCCGTTAGGTTCTGCCAGCGCAATACCCCGGGGGACTTCTCAGCCCATCCTGTGAGCCACGGCCGTACCTTGTCCAGCAAGGTCTGGATTGGACCTTGGCCACTTGGGGTGGAGCAGGGGTTCTGCCCTGGGTACCCCAGCTCAGCCTAGGGGGTGTGGATGCGCTGCATGCCTGCTGATCCTGCTTTTTTTTTTTTTATTTGACAGGTAGAGGTACAGACAGTGAGAGAGAGACAGAGAGAAAGGTCTTCCTTCCATTGGTTCACTCCCCAGATGGCTGCTATGGCCAGAGCTGTGCTGGTCCGAAGCCAGAAGCCAGGTGCTTCCTCCTGGTCTCCCATGGGGTGCAGGGCCCAAGGACCTGGGCCATCCTCCACTGCCCTCCCAGGCCACAGCAGAGAGCTGGACTGGAAGAGGAGCGACCAGAACTAGAACCCGGTGCTCATATGGGATGCTGGCGCCACAGGTGGAGGATTAACCAAGTGAGCCACGGCGCCGGCCCCTGATGCTGGTTTTTAAAAAATGTATTGGGGGGCTGGCGCTGTGGTGTACTGGGTAAAGCTACCTTTACAGGTACTGGTTCGAGACCCAGCTGCTCCACTTCTGATCTTCCCACGTCTCTGCCATGACGTGGGAAAACAGTAGAAATGACCCAAGCTCTTGGACCCCTGCACCCATGTGGGAGACCCAGAAGAAGCTCCTGGCTGCTGGCTTTGGACTGGCCCAGCCCTGGCCACTGCAGCCATCTGGGGAGTGAACCAGCAGATAGAAGACCTCTCTCTCTGCCTCTGCCTCTCTGTACCTCTGCCTTTCAAATAAATAAATTAAAAAAAAAATTTTTTTTTGACAGGCAGAGTGGACAGTGAGAGAGAGAGACAGAGAGAGAAAGGTCTTCCTTTTCCATTAGTTCACCCTCACCTGCGGCTGGCGCACTGTGCTGATCCGAAGACAGGAGCCAGGTGCTTCTCCTGGTCTCCCAGGCAGGTTCAGGGCCCAAGGACTTGGGCCATCCTCCACTGCACTCCCGGGCCACAGCAGAGAGCTGGCCTGGAAGAGGGGCAACCAGGACAGAATCTGGTGCCCCAACTGGGACTAGAACCTGGTGTGCCGGCGCTGCAGGCAGAGGATTAGCCTAGTGAGTCGCAGCACTGCCCTTAAAAATTTTATTGTCATTTTATTAGAAAAGCAGAGGGCCACAGAGAGAGAGGGAGAAACAGAGACAGACAGAGATCTCCACCTACTGATTAACTTCCCAAATGTCCACAACAGCCAAGTGCTGGGCCAGGCCAAAGCCAAGAGCCTAGAACTCCACTCAGGTCTCCCATGTGGGTGGCAGAGGCCCAAGGACTTGAGCCATCACCTGCTGCCGAATAGGGTGTGCATCAGAAGACGCTGGGTCAGGAGTGGAGTGGCCAGAACTCAAAGAAAACTCCGATATGGGATGAAGGGGCTCCACGCAGTGACTTAAGGCACTGGGCCACAGGGCCTGTCCTATGCCTGCATTTTTTACTGTGCTGTTGGCCTCTTACCAACCAGCCCCTGTCTACACCAGTCCCTGATAAAGTCGGAGTTTTTATATTATACTGTCCCTGCAGGATTCGGTCTGCAGACAGGATCCTGACTCACTTACCAGCTCCCTCTGCCTTAGGGCTGTACAGGGTCACCTCGGGACCCTGGCCTGGCTACCCACCAATCCCTTGCCAGGCCCCCCTTCACTCCCCACTCCCTGGACTGCAATGAGTGGACTCAGCCATGGTCTCTGTGTAGTTTTGCAGGTGGACTAAAATCTGGGATCTTGTTGAAATGGTTCAAATCACTGGTGGTGCAGATTTTAAGACAATGGAAGAAGGGGCTGGTGCTGTAACATAGCGGGTTAAACCACCACCTGCAATGCCAGCATCCCATATGGGCGCTGGTTCAAGTCCCGACTACTCTACTTCTGATCCAGCTCTCTGCTATGGCCTGGGAAAGCAGTGGAAGATGGCCCAAGTCCTTGGGCCCCTGCACCTGTGTGGGAGACCCAGGGGAAGCTCCTGGCTTCGGACTGGCGCAGCTCCAGCTGTTGCAGCCAATTGGGGAGTGAACCAGTGGATGGAAAACCTCTCTCTCTCTCTCTCTCTCTCTCTCTCTCTCTCTCCTTCTCTAACTCTTCCAAATAAATAAATAAATCTTTTTTTAAAAATGGAAGCTTCCACAGTGGTTCAGATGTCATTTTTGGCTGCGAGCTAAATGCTGGCTTGCAAACTCCCTGCCCTCAGTTTGCCACCTTCTCTAGCTGGTTCCCCTCCAAACCCAGTCCTCACTCAGCCACGGAGGTACCGGCCCTTCCCAGGCCACCACTGCCCAGCTGCCTTGCCAGCACCTGGGGCCAGTCGGCCCCCCCCTGCACTCACTCACTCACCAGCACCACCGAATTCGTGGACCTGACCGCCTGCGAGTGCAGAGCTGTGCCCCATGTGCACCTGCCCCACTCCTGCATTCTGCCTGCACAGCCCCCGCGGGGGCGGAGTCTTCCCAGCCACACACGTGAACTTGGGAGACCTGCATTCCCAACCGGGTCCCACACCAAGCGGCCGCCGCCGCGGGAGCCCAGAGCCAGGCCTGTTTGCCAGGACATGGTTCATCGCGGGTCCCGCCCACGCTGCACCGACAGCCCGCAGAGCACGCAGGCGCAGAGCCAGGGCGCGGGCGCAGGCGCAGAGCCAGCGTGTTACCTGTACGCATTTTTGGAAACAGGGCGCGGATCGAACTTAAAGAAGATGATGCACATGGCTGGCCAAAGGGTGGCTTTGCTCACACGGGGTCACGAGGTCTGCGGGAAAAGGAAAATGACACTTCAGTAAGCAGCAGGCGACAAAACTGCCTCTCCGAACCCCGAAGCAGCCCCTAGCAGAGCCACCTCTGTGATGACAGCTGCGCTGCGCATAGTAGCCGCCAGGACAGGAACTGCGCATGCGGCCAGCGGCAAACCTGTCCCCTAGCATACAAGTGCATGCCTGCAGCAGGGCCAGATTCACCCAGGAGCCTCCGAGGGAGTGGCAGCACGCCTCCCCTCCCCCACTCAGGAACATGTCGCCCGCAGGTTACGCACAGGACCCCAGAGGGCTCTGTACACCAACATAGCAGGTGGGGACATGAGTCAGGACAGGAATACACACCGAGGTGCCCGGGGAGTGTGGACCCAGCACACACACCCTCCCTACAGGTCCCCGCCCCCAATCCCTGGGTGTGTGTGTTTAGGGGGGTGTCTTTGGGGCCCGCAGGTATTTTCCCACAAGGGAACAGAGAACTGAGGTTATTAGATCCTGGACAAGGTGAATGTTAGGTCCTTGGAACGTGGCCCTGCTCCAGGGCAAGTCGCACAGGCGGCTGTGTCCCAGGGACTCGTGTGTCCTGGTGTGCACGTGAGCCGTGTTCCGCCGCCGGCCGGGAGCTCCGGGTGCACCAGCAGGAGGTGCCGGAGGGGGCCGGGGGTGAGGGTCTATGCAGTGGCCTGGGCCCTAGAGGCTCAGCCCAGGGCTCTTCCTCGGGTACCAGTGCATCTTGAAGCGGGTGGAGCTTGCGTGAGCAGGAGGCCAGGGCGAGATGCCCAGGGGCAGACCCAGTCTCAGAGGAGCTGGGCCACTCCTGCCTCTCTGCCCCAGGCCTGCGGGGCCTCCTGAGTGTCGCCAGGGCGATGGGAGAGCGGCAGCTCCCCTCCGAGGCGGGCTCCACTGCTCTTGGCTCCTGGGTCTCCGAATGCAATCTTTCCAGGCTCCTGTCTCGGCCCTCGCTTCCCTGGACCCAAGGCCGCTGTCTCTGCCACCGGAGCTGGTGCCGGGGCTCCGGCCACGGCCTGCAGTGGGCACTCACGACTGGCCCGATGGCCCGTGCTCACCAGTATGGCCCAGGGAGGGGATGCAAAGGATTCGTTCCACCTTTCTGTGAACGCTCATCTGCTGCTGTCCCGCTGTCACACCCCGGCACCACGTGAGATCAGGCCCACATGGCCCTGAGGGACTCCCCCCAGCACTCGGCCTCCAATCGGTGCCCCCCCACTGCCAGGCGTCTTGGACTGCTGGCGGGGACCAACCCTTTGCCCTAGGAAGGAGCCAGTGGCTGTGCAGGTGAGGTGCAGTCACGGCCGTGGAGCTGGGGGTGAGGGTGGTGGTGCCACTGCCGGAGACATGCTGCTGGCTGTGACCCTGCCCGGACAGTGACCACAGGGACGTCCCAGGTGGAAGAGGCCTGTGTGAAAGGGCACCCAGAGGTCAGCCCACGTCCTCACCCTGGGCCCAGTGCCAACATCCCGGGTGCAGCTTCCAGCCCCAGAACTGGCGGGCCCACCTGCTTGGTAAAAACAGCTCAGAACACTGGGTTTGCTGACACCTCAGAAAGCACGGGGTCCCCCGGGGGCGGACAGCAGAGCATGCGGCAGTAATTCTGCCCCACAGCCTTGGCCCATCGGGGGCAAAACCAGGGTTTGGGCTCAGGTGGCCTTGAGGACAGGGCCCAGGAGCCCCTAAGATGGGCACTCTAGCAGGAGACCCCACCCCATGAGGCTGGAACCCCAGAGAGAGGCGTCATCAAGGTGAGGGTGCGCCACAGCCATGGCCATCTCCAGGGGCAATGGCAGCGCTACACAGAAATGGGGGGGTCCCTGAGAGGCCGCATCCAGGGACCCTCAAACCTAGAATGGATCTTTGGGGGCTCCTGAGCCAGGGGGAGGGTCCCTAGGCCTGCGGCAGCAGGGAGCTAGAGTGACCTGAGGGAAATTCAAAAAGTCCCTGGTGGGGGTTGGCGGGGGGAGAACCAGAATTAAAAGATTCATTCATGTTGGTGCAGAAATATTTGAAATCTTGGGGCCGGCACTGTGGCTTAGCAGGTTAAGCCACTGCCTGGGGCGCCAGCATCCCACACGGATGCTGGTTCGAGACCCGGCTGCTCTGCCTCCAATCCAGCCCCCTGCTAATGCACCTGGGAAAGCAGCAGGAGATGGCCCAAGTGCCTGGGCCCCTGACACCCACGTGGGAGACCTGGGAGGAAGTACCTGCCTTTCAGCTTGGCCCAGCCCTGGCCGTTGCAGCCATTTGGGGAGTGAACCAGCGGACGAAGAGCCCTTTCTCTCTGTCTCTCTCTCTCTTTCAAATAAATGACAAAATTTTTTTTAATTCATTTTTTTAAACACATGATTTTCCCTAATACACATTTCATAAAGGCTTTAGAGACCCCCTGGTGACCGCATCCTAGACCTGGAAGAAGCTTCACGGATTCTTCCTCGAAGATGGAAAAGCAGAAACAGCCGTGTCGGGAAGGGCCACACAGTGAAACAAACGCCTAGAGCAAGAACCAGTGGAGACCACACCAAGTCACGTGGCAGCCCCACGTGGGGACACCATCTGTGGGAGATGAGACGAGAGGGAGAGAAAGCGGAAGGGGCGCAAAGCACCAAGAGCAGCTTCCAAAACGACCTTTCAGATACGAAAGCTAAGGGCCAGCGCTGTGACACAGTGGGTAAAGCAGCAGCCTGCAGTGCTGGCATCCCATGTGGGTGCCAGTTCGAGTCCCGGCTGCTCCACTTCTGATCCAGCTCCCAGCTACTGGCCTGGGAAATGCAGTAGAAGATGGCCCAACTGCTTGGGCCTCTGCACCCAAGTGGGAGACTTGGATCTGGCTCCTGGCTTTGACATGGCTCAGCCCCAGCCATTGTGGCCATCTGGGGAGTGAGCCACCAGATGAAGATCTCTCTGTAACTGTGCCTTTCAAATAAACAACTAAATCTTAAAAAAAAAAAAAAAAAAAAAGGAAAGAAATGAAAGCTACAGAACCTCAAATTAAGATTGGCCTGGAGTTAAAAGCAGATTAAACACAGCTGTACCCTGGGCGGGCAGAATGATCTGGAAGGCAGTTCGGGGACTTGGCAAGCATGCAGGGCCGAGGGGAAGCCCATTACCTGTCACGTGACCGGAAGCCGCAGGTCCCCCACCCCAGGAGACCCGGACTCTCCCATATATGAAAAGCCCTAGTGGTGGTCCCTGCAGGAATCACTACTGGCCCGGAGCCCCAGGGCTCTTCCAAGGCCTGTCCCCAGCTACCACCCAGTGCGCTGGTGTCACAGGTGCCATGGGGCTCAGCCTCAGCCCTCCCTGGGCTATGGGCCTGTCCACTGGCCAGGGTGGCTCTATACGCTGATACTCACAGACCAGACCCAGAGGCCCCCAGGGTCAGCTGCGGGACCTGCCCTCCAGAGAGCCGCAGCGGGGAGGGCTCCGTGGTTCCGGGGGTCTCCAGGCAGCCTGGTGCTAGAAGTCGGAGCGCAGGGCGCAGGGCTGCAGCCTCAGCGAAGACGCGGTCATTGGGAGGGAAGAACCAGAGGAAAGCCAGCCCCTGGGGAGGGGAACATCAGGAACTGCCTTTCTCTCCAATCCCTCGCCCCCCAGTCGAGCCAGGCCCGCTGCCCACTGTCCCTCCAGCCAGCTCGGGCCAGCAGGCCACCCTGCCCCTTCCTGCTTCACCTCCCCCCACCCGTCGTAGCCACTTCCTTCTCCTAAGAGCCCATGCACCCACCTAGCAAACTCCTGGGGGGCCACCCTGGGCCCAGCGTGTCTCCCACTCGGGAGATGGACTCGCCCATGGACAGGCCCCGGGACGTCTTCTTCATGCTGCTGTGTGTCTGTCTGCCCAAGTCCACGGCCAGAAAGGCAGAGAGGAATTTCGGCAGGTCCCATGGCAAAAGGCAGGGTTAGGGCTCATCTCCGCATGCCACAGTCTGGGCTGTGCAGGAGACGATAGGTCCCAACGCCCCACACTGTGCTGGCAGCATTGCCACACGTCCAGCAGCCCAAGATGGCCAGAGTGACCAGGACCACACAGGTCACAAGAGCAGTTGCAGGAGGAGGCAGGCAGTGGGGCGGGGCCCTGGGCGAGTTGGGGGCCTTGTCCGTAGCTCTCTGTGTCCCGTGCTAGGTGCTGCTTGCCCTGAGGGGGCCCCTGCACGAAACGCCAGCTTTGCCCATGGTCACATGGCCATGTATGGTCAGATCGTCCCATGCCTTTCTTTCCAGGTCACAGGGGTGATGGGGAGGACGCCCAGGCAACCAAATGGAACAGGTGCACAGAGCCTGGTGCCCAGGTAGGGTGGACCTGGAGCAGGCCGGGCCTCAGGGCAGGCGTGGGGACAGCCCAGCACCTGAGCTTCACAGACAAGAGTCCCTCTCCATCCCGCCTTGGCCCAGGCCGCATGGCCAAGGTGGGGGTACACAAGGTGGCCCTGCGGGGTGCCTGCCAACTGGACTTACGGAGTGGTGGTGGGCTGGCCACCCAGAGAAGGCATGCACACACGGGGTGCTGGGGTCACGCACCCATTCCCTGGTACCCTGCCAACAGCGATGATGCCCCCAGTACCACATTGGTTTGTTGGTACCACCACAGCAGGTGCACAAGCCATCGCAGCCAGCCGTATCACAGAAATGACCAGGCCTTCTGCATGCACCCCTGTGGGGGTGGTGGAGCAGCCAGCCTCCTCCTGGCCACGGTGGCCACCGCATACATGCACGGTCCCACTGGGAACAAGTTATGAAGGTGACTGCCACGACACAGGGGTACACCCAGGCCTTAGCCAGGCCCACGGCCAGGGAAGAGTCCAGCCGTGTGACCCAGGCCGTGTGAGCAGCAGTCTGGAGGAGCCACACACAGGGGGCTGAAGGCAGATCCCATGAGGGGTCAGATGGCTGACACATGGCCGTGACGTGGTGGCAGCGTGGCACGGGTGTGGTGGAGCCAGGACGGGGAGACGAGTGTCTCTTAGCAGCACCGTGTCACACACTCAGCAGC